TTTAGCAAGTTAAAAGAGAATTAACCATTGTTTAAAAAGTAAATGATTGCGATAAAGACTAATATCAAAGTGTTTACACCCTCCATGACACAGGGCATGTAATAGTTTGATTCCTCACACTATTTTAAATGAGCACTTCGCAGTTTGTAGCTAATCCACCACAGCTGAGGAATCCGAATTTATTCTACAGCTACCTAAGCGTTCGTTATGTGAGTGAACGTGGGGGCAACCTCAATGGTCAGTATGTTGATCACAACTGCTCTCGGGCACTTTCAAGTTATCAAACCCATTCTGCAAGCGGAGAGAGCACGCTTCAACATCTGTAGTACTTTTTTCTGCTAACTGTCTCCTATACTACTTCACTTGCTGTTCTTGGAAAGAAACTCGGAGACTAACTCATGCGATTCTAGTTTGACGTTCTAAAGACATCTGGAGAACTACGGTATTTTCAGTTGTAGGAAACATGCATTTATCAGTGTGATGATTGTTACATATGAAGCATAAACAGCACACTGTGTAGTAAGCAATGTATGATAGTTATTAACACGACACATTTACTTACCCTAAGCAAACTCCAGATTTGCTAAGAAATTATTAACATAGCCTTGCTCAAAATAGTGAAAAAATGTAAACCAAATGTCCAACCATAGGACAGTTTTAAAAATTTTATAGACATTAATTCTCATGTTTATGAAAAGGTACAGACCACTAAACATTTCCAATTAAGTTTCAGAGGAGGGGCAGCTCTAGCATGTTTCATATTCCTACTTATAAGAGAATCTAATTGAAGAAATTAAGGGGTTGTAACTGGCTTTCTCGGGATTGTAGTTTGATACTTTTAACTTCAGCATTCTCATGGTGCACACAGTTACTGAGTAGCCTAGGATGTTTGTGCACCCTTGCTATTCCTATTTGCAGATGAAGAAACAGGCCCATCTCCTCAGGCTGTTTCTCTTTGACTCCAAATGGGAATCTCATTATGTTACCCAGGCAGGCTTCGAACTCACAATCCAGCCTTAGTATCTCAGAGTGGCTGGGAATCCAGGCATGCAAGCTCACAGGCAGTTTCAGGCTTAGTTCCTCAGAGATCACATCTAACATTGTAGCTCTGCTAGTTTACAGAGTAGCATGAAAGCAAACGCTAGGAATCTTGGAAGTGACTAATGGGCTAAGAGCCACCTCCCAGAGTTCTGAGGTCTTCCCAGTCACTCTGGCTCTATTTTCCTCAATCTTGCTGAGTTAACATTTATACTGAAAATGCCTGAAACCAAACAGTAGTGACCTTAAATTTATTGCAATGACCTTCTTAGCTAACCCTCAAGTAATTTAACCCGAGTCTTAATGTTCCAATTAAAATTACATCAAATAAGTGAAATTGGATTTTTCCTTTGCATTTGGTGGAGATCGCCCTTACCCGTGCAGCTCCAAGTGTGCTAGCCTCTTGAGGAACATGGTTAAGGATCTGAGGCAGAAAGTGTTCTGTTACATGGCATTTTCATTCCTGAAGTTGGCATTTATGTGCACTGGCTGGCAGGAAAACATATTATTCTGTATGTCAGTGTCCCATGAATGGAGATCATATGTGAATCAGATGGGGATCTGGTAGAACTCAAGGAAGGCAAGAGACTTCAAACTAGAATCGCATGAGTTAGTGTCTGAATTTCTTTCCAAACAGCAAGTAAAGTAGTAGGGGAGACTATCCTGGGTTTTCTAAGAAAGCAAACCGAGCCAGCCAGTAAGCAGAGCCGCTCCATGGCCTGGGCATCAGCCCCTGCCTTCATGTTCCTGCCCTGCTTGATCAGCTGATGATTTGTGACCGGGACCACACAGGCCCTTTGCTCTCCAAGTTGCTTTCTTTATCATAGCAACAGAAAGCAAACTAGGATACCATTTGTTTAACATTCCCCTTTCAAGGCTGAGAGATCTCCTGCTGCTGCCTCAAGCGTGCATTTTAATATTCAGATATTCAAATTTCTGGTAAGAACAACCAATTCCTCCCTCTCTCAATTCACATACTACCTCCCAGAGACACAAATGACATTTTCTCATTAGTGTATTCTGAGAACACGTTATGTCCCTACAATTAGTATGCACTGAATGTAAGAACGGATTCACTAAATAATTTATTTTTAATTTTCTAAGAAAGTAACTTTGTTGTTAAAGTGTGTGTGTGGGGGGGCTCTTTGCAGGATCCAGAAGGGAATGTGGGCTCCCCCGGACCTGGCATTACAGGCAGTTGTGAACAGCCTGATGTGTACTGGGAACTCAACAGGCACTCCAGCCCCAGAAGTGGTTTTTGAAAGCTCGTTTTCATTTTAGCAGCTCTGGGGGTTAAACCCATGCAAGTGCTCTACCATTAACTAAGCCACATCCCTAGCCCTTGTTTTATTGCTTTTATCTTGAGGCAGGGTGACTTGGTTGCCCAAGCTGTTCTTAAGCTTCTGATCTTAACCTCTCAGACATTTGGGATTACAAGCATGTATCACCATGCCACAGAGATTTAAAAGGTACATTATTCTTGACTAAAACTAAGGCTCAGGTTCCTTAATTCTAAGATGTAATTTGTCTACTTTTCAATATTTCCAAAATCAGAAAAAACCTAAAAGCTAGTAGGTGTAATTAGTAAAGTACTGTTCCTTTACCCCAGGGAAGGCTATGGTAAAATTAATGTTGAATTCTTTGTGTTGAGTGGGCTAGGCCTAAACACAAGTTCTAGCAATCCTCCGTCCTCAGCCTCTAGAGTAGCCAGACTGGAGGTATATTCCATAGCACCTAGCTAAGTGATGTAATTTATAATTGATATTATCTTAGAATTAAGGAATATGGAGATAAAAATGATCCTTGGTCACCAGGACCCAACTCTTCAGAGGTCGTGGTCCCTCAGGTGTCTGAGTTTTGGAGAATTCCATACATCTGATCATGGTATGGTAGACACAGTAAAGTCTGGCAATGTCCCTTCCCAAAATGGAAACAGAGAGGTGAACTCAGTGATCTCCAGTTCCTGTCTCAGCTGAGTCCCTCCTGTCATCAAAGCCATCTGTGTATGAAGCTCAGGGATGCAACACTTGCCCAACACACACACACACACACATTGCACACAACACACACACATTGCACACACGCACACAGTACAATAATCCTTTCATACACTGTTAAGATTTGTCATTCAGATCGTTTTAGTAGAAAGCTGATTAGCTGGAAGCCAGGCAGGAATTACAGGAGGGACAAACAATCAAGAATGATAGGAGAATATGGGCGGAGTCAGAGGAGATGCCAGCCAGCCACCGAGGAAGCAGGGTGTGTGGAAAAGAGGTAACAAGTCATGAGCCACGTGGCAAAGCGTGGGTTAATCTACATGTAAGAACTAGGTAATAACAAGCCTGAGCTGTTGGCTGAGCATTTATAATTTAAACTGTCTCCAAGTCAGTTAGTTGGGAAGCAGCTGCTGGCTATGTGCGGGGAGCAGGTGGTAAGGGCAAGGAAACTCTGACAACACATTCATGTGCACCTGGGTTTCGTCAAAGGACACAGACATGTGAGCGCAGAATGCAAGAGCACAGAAAGCAAGGGGTCGAAGAAGAGTCCGTGGGAGCTTATTAAGTCCCAGCGCTGCTGAACTAGCCTTAAAGCAAAGAATCTTCTTCTTGGCATATGTGTATGGATGCACACGCATGTGGGGAATGTGTGCCAAGATACGTGTGCAAGTCAGCCCTCTCCCTCCTCTGCGTTTTCAATCAGGTCCTCTTGTAACCAGACATTTCTCTCCCACCCTTCAGTTCCCGAATAAGCCTTCAGGGGCTTGATATTAATTACAAACTGTTTGACCTATCAGCTCAGGCTTACTATTAACTAGCTCTTACAATCAAATTAACCCATTTCTATTCATCGTGCATCGTCGCAGGCTCATGGCTTGTTACCTCACATCTTGCTTCTCTGGCAGCTGCTGGTGTTCCTCTGACTTCACCTTCTCTCTGTATGTCTGTTTGGATTTCCTGCCTGGCTATCGTCCAAATCAGTGTCTTTATTAACCAATGGTAATAAAGCATATTCATAGCATGCAGAGGGGCATCCCACATCCGTCTCTCTTATTTCTGCCACTGCACTGGTACGTAGGCTAGCTCACACAGAGCTTCTGGGAATTCACGGCTCTGCCTCCCATAATGCTATAGGGTAGTGGGTTATACATCTCATCTGCCTTTTTCTGTGGACCTGAAACTTGTCTTTTAATGTCACCTGATGTTCACTATTACCCTTTTAGTCTGCCCCAGGCTTAAACATCTCACATAGGACTTTAGCAGGCCTGGCTCACAGGGAGTGAGTGCAGCACTCCAGCTAACACCAAAGCCAAGAGGCTTCACTATGAGCTCCAGAGCAGCTGTTTGGAAACAAGAGAAAAGTCATTATGCAGATTAATCCATTTACAATGACGCAGTCAAAGAGATGGCGCCAGGTGCCTGGCGGACAAATGGAGTGATGAACTGCTTATTCGTGGAGGGGGACACACTCTGCAGTGACAGTGTCCACCTGGCCTCTGTGGTCACACAGCTCACTTCCTGCAGGAAACTGAAGCTGGCATATATGAAAGGCTCCCAAGGCCATACTGAAGACACGGGCTAATAAAGGGGATCTGGTCAAGGCCACACAGCCAGGGATGCTCCTCGGTACGCGTAAAGGGGATCTGGTCAAGGCCACACAGCCAGGGATGCTCCTCGGTACGCGAATAGCGGTTAGTCACTACCCTGCCTCACAGCACAAGTTGGGACACACCCTTCCAACGCCTGAGGGATTCCATACCATCAGAAGACAACTGTGGCCGGTGAGATGGTGAGGACTGCGCCACCAAGCCTCATGACATCAGGCCAGTCCCTAGAATCCACACGGTGGAGAGCACAGACTCACACGTGACTGCTGTGGCATATATGGGTACACACAGGCACACATACAATATATCACTCCGTAAATAAAAATGGTAATAATAAGGACAACTGGAGAAAGTACTGAAAAAATAAAGGTTTAATAATAAAACAAGTACAATCCTCTTATCTTTACAGTGCTTTAATATCAATTTACCCCATCATCTTCAGATCTAATCTTCAAATAATTTGTTGAAAAGAGTCCGGGCATGTCCAACCTTTGGACATTGCAACAAGATATCATCTACAATGTTCCACTCAAGGACTATGTGATTTGAGTTATGAAGAAAGCCACACAAAGCCTCATAATGATTAAATGTGTTTATGCTTCTGTTGGGCCACACGCATAGCTACCCTGGGGTATACATTGTTAATACTCAGACATCTGTACTGGCCTGCCCTTGGGGTTCTGACAGGACACGCCCTCAGCTGCAGCCACTGAGCATCACCTGTGCACATTCACTGTGTTCTTTTCAAAGGGCCCCGCCCCTCCCCCCACCTCTCTCTGCACTTCTCTGCCTTTTTTCTCGATCGGTCTATCCCTCCTCTCCTCTTTTCCCTATTCCCTTTCCTCTAATAAAAATGCCTCCACGTGAGTTCTGTCCCATGGCATTTTTTCTCTCGAGCCACTTTTTCAATTACAGCACAGGTGGCCCCATGGGTCTTGGACTGGATGTGCCTTAGTGTCCTTGTAGTGCTTGGTCATTTAACAAAACAATTTCATTTCTAAATTAAAACAAAGGCCTGACGTAAGGAAAACCATAGATTTTCATTTGCATTAATCTCTGGTATTGTATGTAAATGTAGGCTGCACGTTCACTTTTTGGACAAAAGGAAGCCTGGTGGAATTTAAAGAGTGGGAAAACATGCAGAGCCGAGAACCAGCTCAGGGCTGGAAGCTCCCAGGTCTGCAGAGGCAGTGAAAGGACTCAGGTTCGAAGCCAACAAATGCCACTTGCCTGTTAGCGACCGAGCTCAGGAAGGTGCACACCTTTGAAGTGTGGCACTTGGAGAAAATGGCATCCAAGGCTGGACTGTAAATCTTCCTTATTCTCCAGTCACTGGGCATTTAAGAGCGAGGGTATTGATGGGCCCTGTCCTCCTCTTCCTTCGTGGAGCAGATGTGTGATTCATGGGTTGTCCTTTAGTGGCTCCGCTTTTATCTTATTACTTTTTCTTTGCTTCTGCTTTCTGACAGCTCTGAAAAGCAAGGTGCTAAATTATTTCATGGAATGAGCACAGTGAATTATGTAATTGTGTTGAAGTTTAATTAACTGGCTAACCAAATAGGGAAATAGGAGACATGAAAGACTTTACTGTGTAGGAAGCATAAACCTCCAGTGTCCTAACCATGATGACAGAGAAACAGACAGAGGCCTGATCAAGCAGAATGTCCCCAAAGACATTTCTTTAAAAGATGGTTACTGCAGATTTAGAACAAGCTATTTAGGACAGACCCGCCACAGAAGTGAGCAGCCACACCAGTAAACTTGTCTCTTTGCTACGTATAGACTGCTCAGCTCAGCACTTCCGTACCTGATCCCTGGATTACATTTTCCCCCTTGAAATGGATTCATACATGCGGCAGTCAGCAGGGGCAGAAAGATGAAACAGCACAACCGGAAAAGAAAAATCGAGCACACTGAAGAGAGCCCAATCCTAAAGCCCCAAGCTAACCTTCCTCTCCCTCACAGGCGTGAAAGTGCCAGCTTCCTCAGAGGATGCCCAGCTTTTGTGTCCCAAGCGTTTTGAAAACAAGCCTCTGAATGAACAGGCCAGAGCTGCCCCTCTGCAGCGCGCTACAGAAGATAGAACAGAGCCTCTGCTTCGCTGAGGCAAGACAACTGTTGATGCACTCCCCCACGCCGGCAGGGTCATGCCATTTACCCACCGAGCACTGGGCACGCAGCACTGGGCATTGCCTGGAAATGGCCTGGCTACCCGGCAACATCAGTTTCTGAGAGTCAGAAGCCACAGCCCTCCTAAGCCATAAGAAGCAGGCCCTTCTGGGCCTCCCTTCCTTGGTTAAGGCTTCCTGAACAGCAGGCTACCCTTGAGCCGGTCAAAGCTGGGCCTCAGCTCTCGTTCAGTCAGTATAGTGTGCATCGGGTGTGGGAAATGAAAACTAGTGGGCAGAGTCTTCAAATTCACTGGGCAGGCAGACGTCTCTCTCCCCTGGTGTTTCTCAGGTGAAGAACTCGAGGCTCTTAAGTCCTAGAATCATCTAAGGACAGAGTGACGGGGCCAGCCTGACTCTAGACTCTGTTTCCACACTCACGGGACAGGGACTACTCAACTAGTAAAAGGCCGCCCCCAGGGTCGCTGGGAAACACCGGCGCTTAGCGGGTTCTTGGCCACTCACTCAGCAGACCTCTACTCGATGATATGCGCCTTCAATACTCCGTGCTACCGGCTGAGAGTGCCCAGTCCCTCAACCTCAATTCTTACTGTCTCTTTGCGTGTTACGTAAACCTCCTTCTCTTAAAGTGGGATGGTCCCCTGATAAGCAAGGACTTAGCAAAGTTAGTGAAGTCAAGCATGACCCCAAATAGGAAAGTCAATGAAGCCGTGTGTCTCTATTTAAATTTTAAAGTTCTCTTTGGTTCATCTACTCATAAGCAGGATTAAAAATGAACCAGATTTCACCGGGGAATAAGCAGAAGGAAGAGAATTTAAAATCATTCACTTGTAATGTATAAACAAAACTTTCTAGAGCTAAGTACGCACATGCTGGTGAACTGGATGAGTAAAATTTACCATTTTAGTTTGCCTTGAAATTACACTGACCTAGCATTTGTCCTCTAGCCTCGGGGATTTATGTAACTGACAGAATAAGCTTTCACCACAAGAGGGAGCCAGCATCATTTTAGTTCACATCCACAGGAAAATGTAACAACAAAAAAACAAAATACAAAAGTCAGCTGTAAAGTGCTTAGGACTGAAAGATATTGCACAACACGGTATGCTCAGGTATATATTAAAACACTTGCTATTTGTAAAGAAAGCGCATTCTGTCAGGGCTGGAGATGCTTGTGACCCAGTGGCTAAGAGGACTTGATGCCTTTGCACAGGACCCAGGTTTGATTCTCAGCACCCAGGCGGGCGGCCCCTATAACACACACACACACACACACACACACACACACACACACACACACACACACACGTGCAGTAAGTATTTCTGTCAACTTCACTATGTGGGCTTTTCTGGAAGACAGTAGCAGAGTCTAAAGGAGTTTTCTGAAGCAATGCCACTAACATCACCAGGTACACTGCAACTCAGAGGATTTATTTACCCTTTGAATAAAAGTTGATAAAACCCAATACTGAAAGATAGTGATTGCCCCCCCCCCTCGCCAAAGGAAACAGAATGTGTGTAACTACTACAATCAACAGATCAGCATTCATGTGATATACAGACATACACGCAGGCAAATCACCCAAACACAGTTAAAGTAAAAATTTATCTTTAGAGGGGTCACTCCTGTGCATTAACCCAGTTGGTATATACAGAAGTAGTTTTTTTCCTAAACATGCTATAATTACTAGAATCTTTCTTTGTTTTGAGACAGGGTTTCTGTGTGTGACAGCCATGGCTGTCGTGGAACTTGCTCTGTAGAGCAGACTGGCCTGAACTCACAGAGATCCACCCGCTCTGTCTCTGCCTTCCGAGTGCTAGGATTAAGGGCATGGGCCGCCACTACCCAACAACTGGAATCATTTTACTCTGAGTTATCGATGCCAAATGTTGGTGGGGGGAGGTGTCAAAATAATCATAGGGAAAAAAAATAACAATTTAAATATTTAAGTAAAAGGCATGTGTAAATGTGTTCTAAAAATGTATACAACTAACTAGTACTAATATAAATAAAGTTTACTTTAAATATTGTGGCTAGGTTTGCTTAGCTCATTTTAATTGGCTAAAGGAGCAAGCTGTACTGTTTGAGTCCCACATGAACTCAGCTCTTTGCTGCTTTGGGATGCACACTTTCCTGCTATGGAAGGGTTTGCTCCATCCCATCCGAAATGCCTTCCCTGTCCCCTCCTGCCACCAGGCGTCTGCCCCGGTCTTCCCATGCAGCCTGACCCGAGCGAGGATCATTACCTTCGGTGAAGTCTGCACTTTCATCCTAAAATTAGCATTCCGTATGAGCCACGGGAGATGGAAAGTTACGCGCTTCCTCCTCTGGTTTTGGCTGTCTTGTGTCTCACCTGCCAGCCTGAGTTCCCTGAAGCATGCTTTGCTAGCCTCTGTGTCCCCCCTCAGACCAGGTAATAAGACACAATGGTGACAATGGCGACTGTCACTCCTGAGTCCACAGACTGAGCTAGGAACCTTGACACCAGCAATCTTTTTTTTTTTTTTTTCTAGAGAGAAAGAGAATTCCACTGACTTGTTAGGTCTCTTAGCGATGCCAATGTTGGGACAATTGCTGCGTTTGTGATCCAACGCGCCACAAATAAAGCAGCCATCTTTGGGGCCCGCACAGGAATGGTCCGGGAGTGCACAGCGATTGCAAGTGCTGCAGTGGATCCAGGCTGTGAAGGAAAACTTAAGTTTCAGAAGAGGCTCATTTGACATGATTTTTCATTTCAGTAACCTCTGAGGTAGGGTCTATGAATAATGTTTACTTCAGATAGTGTGGCCGGTGGGCGTAACTCATTTTACTTTGGCTAAAGAGATCATGGTGAAGTGTCTGAATCCCACATGACCCGGCAAGTTCTGCTATAATGCAAACAAACTCAGCCTTGCCCAATACGTCATGACCTGACGGCCGCTGCCACAACAGAGGCTGGCGGAGAGGGACAGCGCCGGGTACCACACTGACACGGGCTAGCGTCAGCTCGCACTACGAAAGACGTGTGTCAGTAGTCATAAAAGTCAATGTGGGCCTCTACATTATTTTCCGTTACGAATGTAATTAAAGTCTTATGCACGTGGGGAGAGCTAAGCGTGTCTCCTGGGGATCTCAAACACTTACAAGGCTTCACACACTTTCTGCAGAGAAAGCAATGACTCCATTTCCTGCCATCCTACAGAAACAAATTTTAAAATGTTCAATTCGTTATAACAGCCAAGTTCCACAATTAAAAATTAAAATGCCTTATTAAAATGTGTGTAAATTATTCATTCCTTATTTCTTCCTTTCCTGGGCTTCACAATTAAATACTCTGATTTTAATTTATGCATTTCTCCACTTAACTCAAATGCCTCCTTGATGGGCCTCAATTTCCTTAACTATGAAACTAGATTTATCCAAATGATCTTGAAAATCCACTCTGCTTCAAGCCATCCAATCTTCACAAAGAAGGACCCAAATGAAAATTTCAAGAGAATTAATGATTCCATAATTTTATGTGCTCTATACTACATAGCCCTTAATGAAATTCATATTTGAGAGCGTCGTGTAATTTAGAGAGAGAGAGATTACAGGTTACTTCTTGAGTAACTTTTTTTTTTTAAGTGTGAAGTAAAACATACCTAGAAAAGTACATTCAACATATATATACATGCACTTTACAAATATTAAAGCAACTGCCTGTCGAGAATTGGGCCCCCTGGACCCCAGAGCCCTCCTGACACGGGCTGCCAGTCCAGCGTTCCTCTCTCTCACTGGACAGTGCAGCTCTAACTTTTCTGACCCTCATTTCCCTATAATTGTTTATTTTTACCACCCGTGTGCTTATTGCTAATTAAGTTTTTCCCTCTCGATTTTAAACTTTATAAACCTGGACGTAATTCAGACCATTCTAAACCAAGTGGAAATAGTTATTTGAACTAAGCTGTTCTTTGGAAAATAATTTGTGCTGTTTAGAAAAGCTAAACTCCATATGCTCTTTCTGACTAGACAATAAAAATGCACCAAGTGGCTGAAAAGTTGTCCTATCTCCTTAAAAAAATAAGCAGGAGCTTATTTGTTATTGTTCAAAGGTGGGGCTGGGCAAGAGGTCCTTCAGTCGGTGCACAGTTTCAAGCTGTGCCACACCCAGACAATGGAAGTCATTAACAAGAACGGGCTACTTGGCCAGGGAAAGAAAGACACCGCTTTAAACGGCCATTTCAGATGAGAAGCCAGTCTGAAAAGCAGTTACACATGCTGTGTGATTCCAATTTTATGACTTTCTGGAAAAGGCAAAACTACAGATCAGTTGCCCGAGGTTGGGGAAGGGGAGGGTGAGCACGCAGCGCACAGACGATGGATTTCCAGGGAACACGGTGAAGTCCCTCTATATGACCCTACAGTGGCAGAAGCAGGTCAGTAGATACTCATCCAACTCAAAGAACACACAGCACCAAAAGTGAACCTCAAAGTAAAGCATGGGCCCGGGCTTTAAGGACAAGTGTGTCCATCAACCGTCACAGAAGGTATACTCCAGTCCCAGACAGTAACAAGAAGGGCTGAGTGGGGGTAGGAAGTCTAGACAAATCTCAGTACCTTCCGCTTCACTGGGCACCAAATCTAAAATGCTTTTAAAAGCATTTCAAAAGCAAAGAGCTAAACCCATAAACAGCAGACAGGTCTCATGTTCTGTGGCAGCTGTAAGAGAACAGGGGCTATTCTGAGGACTAAATGTGTTAACCCGTGCAAGGCTCTGAGGCACAAGCCTAGCACATAAAAAGTGCACGGTACATGTTACTAATCATCACTGCATCAGAACAGCAATGGTACCTAATGGTCCCATGCCTGATTTGGAACATCATAATCTTACCCTTAACAGACTATATATAAATTCAGCACTTAGTGCCTTATTGGAAACACTCTTGGTAAGTACCGTATGAAAATGACTGAAATAGCTGTTTACAATGATGAAAGGAATTAAGTGCTTTAAAAAGGCCTGTAATAGGGCTGGAGAAGGCTCAGTAGTAAAGGCACTCATCATCAAACATGATGACCTGAATTCGATTCATGGGACTCACACGGTAGAAGGAGAGAAACTCCTGTAAGGAGTTCTCTGACTTCCACACGTGTGTGCACACATGTGCCTACACACACACACACACACCTTCCACACACAAGAGTTTTTAAAGCCTGCTAAGTCTATAATTAAAAATTAGGTACTACTACATTAAGATATAGAAGGTGATAATACACATGAATTCAAGTATTAACAAAACTTTTTGTTTGTTTGTTTTTGTTTTTCCAGACAGGGTTTCTCTGTCCTAAAACTCACTCTGTAGACCAGGCTGGCCTTGAACTCACAGAGATCCACTTGCCTCTGCGCCCCCAGTGCTGGGACCAAAGGTGTGCGGCACCACCAGCAGGCAGCAAAACATTTCAAGAGTAATAAATCTATCAAACTAACATATAACGAACACTTGCATAAAAATGTATTACGTAAGAGAACTATACCTTGGATGTGCAAGAATTACAATGCACACAGTGCTGATTCTCAAGAGAAACATATCTCTGACAGAGGGAACAAAATCTAAAGAGAGAAACAGGAAAATGAGCTGCAAGGATTCATTGAGATTCATAGAACAAAGGCAAACAAGGAACTTGCTCCAAAAATTGGAGGTAAACAGAATTCAATTCAATGTGAAATTATAGATCAAATCTACAAGCAATACAAGAAGCACCTGATTCAATATTGAAAGCATTTACATAGAACGGCATTTGCAGACGACCTGAAGTTCACAGTGGTCTCACCTGTACCCTTCTTCTATAGGAAGGGTTATTCTGTCGGGTGGGATATTGGTGAAAATCCGAACAGGAGACTGTTTTCGACCTGTCTTTCCATGTTTGTAAAGTGTGTGATTATCATAATCTACCTAGAAAGTAAAAAGAAAAGTCATTCAAATGAGTCAATACTCTCTAAGCCCCTTGAACCAATAAACAAACTGATGCCAAGATGCAGGCTGAAGCAAGTAGTGAATAATCAACTCCTAAAAGCACGTTTACTCACAGCCAGCTTCCAGAGGCCTCCATGGCGGTGGAGTCACATTGCAACAAGGGTAAGATGTGTTACAACATTCACATATGTTGGTCACAGGAATGACTTTATAGGCTCCATAAGGAAGTCTGTTTTGTAATTAAGAGCTTTACTGAGGATGCTAAACACAAGGCGTTTGTTTGAAGATGTATGCTAGTGTACGAAGTAAGATGCCCCACTTCCTGGGGACGTTTGCCAGTCACCAAATAAAGGAGCATGCTCAGTCTGGCCTTCACCAAATAAAGGAGCATGCTCAGTCTGGCCTTCACCAAATAAAGGAGCATGCTCAGTCTGGCCTTCACCAAATAAAGGAGCATGCTCAGTCTGGCCTTCCACTCCCGTTCCGTCTGCCCTCTTGCCCTCCGATGGAACAGACGTTGGGGGTCAGACGATGACTGTCACTTACTTGTTAGATGACCTTAGACAACCTTGTGGATGTTTTTAAACCGTAAAAGGAGGTCACGGGTCGTGACCTTAAGAGTCCAGAGTGCTTAGGGGGAAGGAAGATGGAGACCACCTGTGTGTCCACCTGGCTTCCGCCCCCCACAAACACTGACCTCCCCTCAGCATCCGAACTTGTCATGTCAGCTGACTATCCTGACGGAGAGGCCATTCCCGGTCCTCCGTGCCCTCAGTTTGGCCTCTGGTCTGCTGTGGGTCCACCTGGCTACTAAATCTGTTTTTCTTTAGCTCAGTAGTACTCAGAGTGTTTGAGCAACAGCAACAGTACCTGGGCCCTGTTAGAAATGCAAATGTTCTCCCACCCAGCACCCTACTGCATCAGACGCTCTGGTTTTAGCAAGCCCTCCCTGCACACTCAATTTGACAAGCGCTGTTTTTACCCCCCAAGAGTGCCATGGACGGTTACGAACTCAGGACGTTACCCCCCAAGAGTGCCATGGACGGATCAGGACGGGTGGATCCCAACTACCGCGTGAGCTGCAGTGAACTGTTTTCATTAGAAACAGGAGTACACTTAGGAATCGGGACCGACTGGGCTTGCAGCTAGCTATTTTGCACAAACACGGAGGGAAACCATGACAGGGAGACAGGTGCTTTTAAGAACAACTTTTAAAATGTATTCTTAGATTACACGCACGTACACACTATAACTTAATCATATTCTATCCGAAGGGAAACTCGCTTTCCCATTCCCCTGACCACACCCCAATGCTTTCTCCCATGTTTGTGTCCTTTAAATACACACACACACACACACACACACACACACACACACACTAACCCTCTGAGTCCAATTAGAACTACCTGCATGTGTGTGGGTGAGAGGTCATCACTCAGCATGGACAGCCTACCAGCAACTACACTAGAAGGAAAATGACTCCCCATCCTCCAGCAGCCATCAGTTGCCAGCACCGTCTCTTTGTGGGTTACCTCCATATTTTAGATCTGCCACACCCTCGCAGGGTCATCAGAATCATTCCTCCGAAATGGAAGCTGCGTGAACCGCCTCCTACACCTTCCTCTCTCTGGGCTACTATTTTGATCAGGAGGATGACGTGGCTCTGGAGGGCGTAGGCCACTTCTTTCCTGGACGGGCCAAGGAGAAGGGCAAGGGCACCTCCTCAAGTTGCAGAACACCCGTGGGGATGTGCTTTTCCAGGGTGTGCAGCAGCCATCTCAAGATGAGTGGGTAAAGGCCAGGAGGCCATGGAAGCTGCCTTGGCCCGGGAGAAGAACCTGAACCAGGCCCTCTTGGATCTTCCTTCCCTGGGTTCTGCCTACACAGACCCTCATCCCTGTGACCTGTTGGAAAACCACTTCCTGGATGAGGAGGTGAAGCTCATCAAGAAGATGGGCAACCACCTAACCAACCTCCGTAGGCTGGCTGGGCCCCAGCCAGAAATGCAGACTGGCGTGCCTCAGCCATCTCTGGGCAAGTGTGTCTTAGAGCGGTTCACTCTCAATGACAGGAGGCCTCGCCTTCCAAGGGGCTCTCTCTCCTCTGCTCTGCACCAGCCAGACTCAGGATTTCTACCCGAACCAGGCAGCTTGGTAACCACCTTGGAGGCCCCTGAGTCTTGGACAAGGTGAAAATAAAGCTTTTTAAAACAGAAGGAAAAACAGAAGATAGATTGGTTGCCTCTCTCCACAGCTCTGGTTTAACTCTGTGTTACCAGGTTTACAAGTAAATGCACTCCCTAAGGCTCACCAGCAAGCTTCAACAGTGAGTAAAAGCTGAGCAGATGAGACAGAGAAGGCAAGGGGCATGTGGAAAGCCCCAAGGGTTTCTGGAAGGCTGCCTGCAGGGGTGACTTCAGTCACTTGTGGTTCATGTAGGCCGGGTGGAGTTTGTTCTCTACCTATGAGCAGTTTCCCCAACAAGGGAAGCCGAGGTGAGATCCCACTGGCAGCCCTGAGTTCAGTCCCCACATTTTAAGAGACACTGATAAAACCGGCTCACTTCTACTGAAAATAATAGCAATCAACAGGATTTATAGTTTAACAAATTGGGGGTGTTTGTTCAGAAAAGACCGGGAGGAACTGACAGCTAGTTCATAACTGAAGGGGTGTCATATGGAATAGAAATTAGACTTATCCCTTATTGCCTCGGAGAACAGAACCAGGAGCAATGGTTAGAAGTTAATGGGGAGCATATTTTATCTCAATATGAGAAATTTCTCTAACGATTAGAGCTATTAAATAAATTGAGTTGCCTTGTAAGGCTGTGGGACTCTGTGCCCCAAAAGCATTCAAATGAAGGTAGATGAGTGCTTGTCATGAATTTAGCGGAGAGGATTATCACACTGGGAAGTCAGCCCAGGTTACCTCTGCAGCTCTTTCCAACTTCCAAAATCCTATGAATAGAGGTTACCTAGCAGAGGCAAGACACAAAAATAGATTTCACTTTAAAAAAAAAAAAAATCAACCTAAAATAGAAGTGTAAGTAGTTTCCTTTGAAAGGGCTTTAAATGTATAACGTTTCCCCAGTGCGCTCCTCTGTGGACTTGAATATATGTGGTACCTTATTAAATCCAACAAAAGATGTTTTGCTTGTAAACTTACGAGTGTCGTAAGGAAAGCCATTCTTCCCATGAGAATCTTATGAAAACTTTCAAAGGCTGGAGAGTCATAGTGTGGGAGACTTCTATTGTGTGGGACATTCTGTGCACTGCCACAGCAGATGGAGGGGCAGTGTCTTCATGGGCTCCCAAGGAGCTGGAGAATGCGTGTGTCAGGAAGGTGGCTGATTGCTCGGTTTTGCATAACCTAATTGAGATTATTATTATTTTTAAATGCGGGTTTGTTGTGCTAATTAACTATAAACATATGGTATGTAAAACGCATGCTGCTAGAGTAAATTAATGTACCTCTAACATACATCCATATTTCATAGCTTCATCCACACAAATAAACCTCCCGTGGAAATGCAGTAAAGCAAACACAATTTTGCAAATTGCCTATCGCTCGTGCTAGCGCTGATCCACCATGTTCCCGTCATTATCTCTGACACCTCGCTCACAATGATGATGAGAGGCATTTTCAAACGGAAAACCTCTCCCACAGAACTGATTAATGTGATGAGGTACTGTATAGAAATGAGGGTACGCACACAATCTCTGCAATTCCCAACTCTTAATTTGAGCCCCAGGCAAATGCCTTCTGCGGCGCAAGACCGGAAGTAGTTCTGCGGGGCGCGCGAGCAGTGAGGCGGGCATCGCAGCACTGACTTGGTACCTACTACGTCCCAGGCAGAGTGCCAGCCACACTAGCATCTGCACAACGCCCTGACGACTACGCTCTGGGTCGTTTCACGAGGGTCTCAAAGCCACGCCTCAGCTCCCCGGCCACAGTCAGCAGTCATGACCTCACACCCTTCGAACCCCAATTTAAAGTTCCCACACAGACCCCACCCTGCTCAGTCTTTATTATACACCGAGTTTCAAGAATCTGGTTGCCTTTTTTTTTTCCCCCTTGTTTTTTTCAAAATAGGTTCTCACTGTGCAGATCAGGCTGTCCTGGAACTCACTATGTAGATCAGGCTGGCCTTGAACTCACGGAGATCCACCTGCCTCTGCCTCCCAAGTGCTGGGATTAAAGGCGTGAATGCAAGTTGACACCTTTTAATATTCAATAATTTCTCAAAATTCTTTTCAAAATGCCTTCTTCTCCACTGTGAGAGATAAGCTAGAAGTGGCTTCCTGCACCGGCCGACTAGAAAAGAGCTCTCTGGCAAAGCAGGCAGCTCTGCTTTCAACGTGTAAGAGGCTCTTCACGGACAGACATGAAGAGACACCAGGGACCTTTCCAGGAGGGCTGAGACAGGAAACCTGTTGGGAAATTTAAGTACCTGTCCCTTACAGCTCTCTTCCTCCCCACCCAGCTGGAGAACTCCCGCGCTCTCAAGGATGATCAAACAAGGTTGTTCTCAGAACTTCCGGTGTGCAGTGCCCGAGCCTTGACCCCAGGTGTGGGTGGTGCATGACTTCCTCCTGTGCTTAGCCCATCCCCTGGCTTGGGTGCATAAGCCCATTACTCTCTGTAATAAAGGGCAGCAGCTTCCTCTTCACTTCTCATGGTGGTCTGTTAAGTGCTTCAGTCCCGGCACCCTCCGCCAGCTCAGAACTCTGGCCGTGCGTGCGGGCGCAGCAGAAACCATCTCACTGGGATGTGACAGCCACATGAACATTGCTACATGGCTTGTATTTCATGAAAAGCTGTAGCATTTCAGACAGCCATTTATCTGAAAAGTATCCTCCCTGCCCCTAAAAAGATTCAGTGATTATGGTCTTGTTGCTGTTTTTACTTCTTTGCTACACTGTGGCTTGGAGTCTTGCTGTGACTTTGGTGATGGTTGGGGTAGGAGCTATGTGAAAAGATCTGTAATGGAGGACAGGAGACATGAGGTTTCGTTTGGTTTAGGTCTGTCCGAGGCACTGGGGATTGAACCTGCGGCCTCAGGCATGCTATTTTGTTTTACGGATCTTCTTCTCAGCAGTTGCCTGGTGTTTTATCAAAAACACTGCTTTGCTCCTGCACGGTTACACACGTGATCTAACCTGGACAGTTATTTCCAGTAAACTTACGCTGTCAACTGTTCTTAGCCTGACACGGGCAGGCAAAGAAGTTTCCATCAGCACCATTTGCCTACCCTGTTAAACAGCTGCCTTCTTCTGCCCTATCACCATTTCAAATGCTTGTACTTGTGTATATGGAGATGCAACCACCTTCCAGGAGACCTATGCTATCCAGTCTTAAGTTCTCAGATGCAAGGGTTCTTCCCAGCTCGGGACTATCCGCGTTATGACCGTGCTGGTGACAGCCTGAACTATACAAGTGTAGAGACTGGCCGGCCACACCTTTTCATACATTATTTCAGGAGACATAGCTGTTATCGTTGCTATTATTATTACTAGTGCTATCCCAACCATCATATTCATTTAACAGATAGGGAGAGCTTCAGAGAGGCTGAGTAGCCAAGCGAAGACTAAGACCCAGATCGTCTGTCTCGGTGCTAGTCTGTGCTCTTTTCCATTCAATCATTTGGAATATATGGGCCACCTACTGTCCAACCATCACCCGCATGCACCACCTTCCTCCAAAGGCAGCAGGAGCCACTGAGGCTGCAACCAGTTTAGTTAGCAAACATCTTTAGATGGAGGCAGCTGTGTCTGCATTGCAAATGTCGATTCCAGAAGCAGCCCTCCCTCAAGCAAGAAACAGAACCTCCTAGCTTGAAAAGGAGGTACACAGCTGTGGAGGGAATCATGATATAGGCTGTATTTCATCTACAAGTCAGGGTGGGAGCAGCTTGTTTTGGAAAGTACCCTACTAATATGGCTCAAAGCCATAGAAATGCCCCTCACACCTGAGAAAACAATCCAGCTTTCCAAGTCCGCACTATGGAAACTATGGAAAAATTCTATGCATTAGAAATTCTTACAGCAGTTTCATTTATAGTACAGAAGAAACAAAAGAAGAAAATGACAGATCAGCCAGTTAAGGAAGTGACTGGAAACGATTATATAACGATTATGTAGCTGCCTTTAAAAGTGTATACATGTGGTGTGTGTGTGTGTGTGTGTGTGTGTGTGTGTGTGTGTGTGTGTGTGTATTTCCAAAAAGTCTTTTAAAACTGGCTGGAAGTGTTTGATTCTTGGCACTGAAAGCAAACCAAATGAAGTGAAAAATAAAAACGGTAACATCTGCTTTCTGTGGCGCCATTGCAGGCGCCCTCGCTTTGGGTAACTACCACCCCTTCAGCATGATCATCGCGATGGCACGGGCCGTTGCGAGCAGACAGATGAGAGCAAGTGCTATCTTGCAACAGCTGGTAAAGATGCTTACAATTTAATGGCCAGTCAATTATTCAGAAACCCCACAGGAAAACTGCCTTTGCAAGAAGACGCCTTGCTAGCGAACTGGGCGACCACACCAAGTAACGACAACAACACGGTTAACTGTGGAAGCCGAGCAGAGAGAGAGCTGAGGGCGGAGTGGAAGGGCCTGGGCCTTGGAGTGTGGTAAGGTGTGGCGGTGGGGGAAGGACGCCCACGCTGGGCCAGCACACTCACTCACTCACACACAGCCATCTCGGCTGCCCTCCACACCCCACCGCTGGCAGCGTGCCCCTTTAAAGCTCTCAGCATCCTTGAGTGACACACAGACAGGCCACGTGTCTTCCCATCACCCAGAAGAGGCGATTTACTTTCCTATACACAGCCCATGAACAGAGCAAACCAACGTTCACCCTGGCGGTCCGGGAGGCGGGGGCTGGTGACAGAATAGATCCGCTGACCTAAAACCCTAGCTGCACTTTGGTTTGTTTGTTTGCTTGGTTGGTTAGTTTCTTTGGTGGTGGTGGGGGGAGGTTGAGTGTGTATACGAGAATCTGTCTTTTAACAAGTACCCTAGAAGTCGCAAACATTAGGAACCAGGGCCTAGCCTACACACAGAATAACTTGGTTGTTGACACAGTTCAAACCACTTCCATTTACTAAAATCAAAGGCTAGTCTTACCCAGAATTTCCCAGCAGCACATCCATTCCCCAACCAAGCCAGGAGACACAGGGTTACTATACCTGGTAATCCAGCATGTGGAAGCTTGGGAAAAACTGACAAATCCTCGACTCAAAAAAATAAGGGAAAATCCAGAAAATGGGCAGTTCTTTGTGACTGTCTTCTGACGGATCACACAGGAAGAAAAAAGAAATAATTGGGTAAGTAAAGAAAATAAGACATTGATTCTAAAGGCAAATTAAAGTTTCAGTAGAAATTTCAGGTGTTCAATACATGTATGTGTCACACAAACAATGTTTCGGTGGTTCCAATCCACCTTGACCAATGGTTAATGGAAATGTTACCTACTAAAACAGTACACAGACTTTATTGTTCTGATTAGCGACCTTAAGAGCAGCAAATAATGTGATATGTAACGATGAGCCACGTTTCAGAATCCCTCTAGATTCTGTCCCTGAAACACACTACTGACACAGCTCGGTGAGTGGAGACGCCTGACCACGTGCCTCTGCGCACTTGAGTAATTTATCAGCACGCAGGCTAGAAGCTCCATATAAAACTGAATCGAGAAATTTTCCCCATTTGCTAACCCACCTCTGCAGTTGGAAGTCTGTGAGTCCCGTTACTGTTTATGGCCACTGGCCTACTGGGTGTCTAACCTCCACATCAACAAATCATGGTGAAATTCAAGGCTCTGGGCCTGAGGTTGGATAATGTCCTGGTTAGTTGTTTTGTCGACTTGGCATGAGCTAAGGTACTTTGGAAAGAGGGAACCTCAGTTTAGTAAAGGGGGGTACCCTCCTAGTTATTAACTGATACGGGAGTATGGGAGACCCACTGTGAGGCAGTGTCCCTGGGCAGGAGGTCCTCCGATGTAAAGAAAGCAAGCTGTGCAAGCCGTGTGTGTGGGGGCGGGGGGGGAAGCAGTAGGCTGCATCCTCCATGGCCTCTGCATCAGCTCCCGCCCCTAGGCTCCTGCCCTGGCTTCCCTCACTGGACTGTGACTCAGGATGTATAAGCAAAATAAACCCCTTCCTGCCCAAGTTGCTTCTGGTCAAGGGCTTTATCACAGGAGACGTAGGGGCCACAGAGCTCCCTGATCTAGTCTTAGCATCTGAAGGACACCTGCACATGGCAGCCACTCACCGAGCACTAAACAAATGACAGTATGTTCGCCATTGTGCTTCACACTGCTCCATAATCTTACAACCATGTTACGGAGGAACCGGTTTAAAAAGAGGAAGTGTCCCGTGATCATGAAGTTTGCCATGAGCAAATCAACGTGCTTTTAAAAAGAGCCTGAGCAAGAGCTGCACATTCCATCTGCGCTGGGCTTGGCTAGCATTGGCAGGAGGCAGACACATAATAGACACATGCTCGTTTTGCAGTAATTAAAAAAAAAAAAATGTACCTTGGCTTTGACCCTCTTTCCACATAGCAATTAACTTCTTGAATGTAATGGCCAGAGGTTCAACCAAGCCACCAAAAGGAGGGTCTGTCACCATAATCACGCCTTCACCTTCCTCCTCCTGTAAGAACGCCCTGCATACTTCAAGGGCAGCCTGTAACAAATAAAATGTCTCTAAATTAGAACCAGAGAGCGGCCTTTTATCCTACTGGAGAGCGCATTAAGCGTGGTCTCTGTCAGGGAGGGAAACATCACCAAGTCACCCTCTGTGACATCCAAAGTCTCTCAGCCATTCATGTCCGATTTTATCTTTGGGTTCCTCGATCAGCAGGATTTTAAATTACAAATTCAAATACCATCACTATCAGACAACTACACATTTCAAATAGTTAAATTAAAAACTAAATTTAGTAACCCCAAAAAGAGAAAGCCATCAGCCGTGAAAACAACCTACACATTCAATTCAACACACAGGAGCAGAGGCATTGCTGAACCTCGCTCGGGGACTGTCTTGTCTACTGCCACGAGTTATCTTAGGACCGGCCTCGAGGCAGCAGGTAGCGTGCACATACTGAGGACTAGGTGAGCAGCAGACTTATCTGAGCAAGCAGAGGAAGTCTACAAATGGCAAAACCCATCTGGTCCTGGAAACTGCCAGTAACACTTGCCCATCAGGCTGCTAGCGTTTCCAGCAGCTGCCAGACTAGCAACAGCTAAGAGATTTACCAGTTTCTGCTTTGAGTGCAGTTAGCAGAGGTGCATCTATCTTAGTATCACTAGTGTTAGCATTCAGGCATCTGCACTGGCCTGCACTTGGGGTTCTGACAGGATGCGTCCTCAGCTGCAGCCACTGAGCATCTCAGCAGTAGAACACTTGTCTACCAGCACGCATGAGCCCTCAATTCAATCCCCAGCACCACTAGACAGGAAAAATACACTAAAAAATGATTTAAAAATAGTAACAAAAAGGTACTCTTGAATATGTTAATCAATAATAACAGAGAAAAGAGATGATGGTCATAAATCTTACCTTTCCATCAAAGAAATGATGGTTGAACATGTTGTAGTGGCAAAAGCTATCTTCCAGATAAAACTGCGAGTATCTGTAAAATAATTCATTACCAAGTGATGGGCCCAGGTACATAATACAGTAAATAAACAAACACTAAAGTGTATTTTTAAACTCCAAAATCACATTTTGATTAAATAAATTCCATCATCCTTTGGTTTTTGAAAAATAAAGAATTTTTATAAAAATTTAAGTGAATCTGTAATGTTACATATTGAATTTATGTATTTAGGTTGGTGGCAAAACCAAAGAATAATCATACATAAAAGATACAGGTTCCAAGAAGGCTGATGGTGCGGACCTTTAAAGCCCAGCTATTTGGGGAGCTGAGGAAGGAGGACTGCAAGTTCAAAGCCAGCCTGGGCTGCAGAGCTCAAGGGCACTTGCCTAATCGACATTCCTCAGGTCCTATGTTCAACCCTCTGAACTACAAAACCAGCAGATGAAACACACATTTTCTTATGGACCAGAACAGCACACAAACATCTGGGCTAGACACGTTATGCAACTTAACTTTGCAGTGTGTTTTCAATTAAAACATATCTTTCTTGGTTAATAGTTTCTTGAGATCTTATTTTTATTTTTAATTATCTGAATATGTGTGTGTCTACGTATGGGTTTGCACACATGAGTACAAGATGCCTGCAGAGGCAGATGGTATCTAAGGGAGCTAGCATTAGAGGTGTGTGTGAGGTGCCTGATGTGGGTCCTTGGCAAGGGCGGTATGTTCTTCTAAGCCATCTCTCCAGTCCCTCCCGGTTAATAAATTTAAGGAAATATTAAGTCAACATTTCTGTTCAACAACTATTATTTCTCCTAGGATTAACAAAAAAGGCACTTATTGCAAAACTTCCTTGTCTAATGCAGATTAGTTTAATAAGATATACTTCACAATATAATATTGAAAAGGTATGAGCATTTAGGGTTGGCTGAATTTGTGTCAAGAGAGAAGCATACTTATTTACTGAATGAATTATTCTACTCTAGCCATACTGTAAAACTGCAGCAAAAATGAATCAGAGTACCTGCTCTGGGAATGAACATTTTATTTTTTTTTTTAACTAATCTGTTAAGAAAACATACTGCATAACAGCTCAAGTTTATATTTACTTAATTATGTGGAAGGCTGACTCTTTTTTTTCCCAGCTGTCCTATCTGCTATCTCCTGAGTCACAGAAACTTTTGGTAAGTCAAAAAATCTTGAGCTTTTTCTCTCTTATAAATAATTCACATATGGACCATGCCATCCTTGTTAGAAAGACTGAAAAAAAAAAAAACCATCAGGAACACTGCCTTACTTCCAGAACCTCTGGTAACAGCCACGGTAGTGGCAATGCTTGGGAAGCAACTCCCTCGATGTGCATGTGGATTGGCCACCAGGGTGAGTTGCTTACATCGGGCAGCTCCGGGTCAGCTGCTTCTGATTTTCACACTGTGGTGAGAACACGGGCTCAGAGGTCAGAAAGTGTGGCTCAAGCTCTCCATCCCTGGTGTACGACATAACCTTGGGAAGTAAATCACTCAACCTTTCTGAGCCCCGGGTTCTTCATCAACAAATGGGAAAGTAAGTTTCCCAGGGCTCCACAGAGCAAGTAAGAATGGTGTGTAGCACACATTAACGTGTGTTTGCTTTAATGAATATTAGCTATTAAGTCCTTTGTCTTAATGCCACCAATACTAGAAAACCATGTTTTCATAATCTAAACCCGTTTCTCCTTGCTCTGTGGAGAGGGAGTAACAGCTGTTCATCATTCCTTAGTGTTGTTTAAGATGCAGTCAGCATATCTGCTGGATCCTGAAAATATTAACCGCATTTGGGCTTAACAGCCATTCACAAACTGTGGGGCAAAGACAATTACTATCGAAAGCAAACATCCCCGGGTTTAATTAAATTTCAAGGCTTCCCTCCCCCACAAAGGATCTTCTGATTATTTGTTTTCATCTTCTTACACAGGATGACATTCTGTAACTCAGGCTGTCCTGGAACTCACGGTGGTCCTCCTGCTTCAGGTTCCAAAGTGATAGGATTATACATACACATCACCGTGCTCTATTTTTTTATCTTTTCATCAATACTAGCACAGACAGCTGTTGGCCTACTATCACTTGAGGATGCTCTAGCTTTAAAAAAGAAAATCACATCCCCTTTCAATTTAGTCTCTCTCTCTCTCTCTCTCTCTCTCTCTCTCTCTCTCTCATTGCTTCACAAAGGCAGAGTAATTTTTAAAACTTAAAAAGAGGATTTGATTTATACAAACTCCAGCACAACACACCTGTCCAAAGCGCTCTGGGCAGCAGTGTGCTGAGCCAGAGCGGGGAAAGGCCAAGAATTCAGTTCTAAGTTCCGCCAAACACAAACAAGAGAACATAATTACTCATACTTTAAATTATATTTTTAAAAAATCACCCAGCACTGCCCTCTTAAAATGAAATTGGCCACAAAGAATTATTCTCTCCACTGAACAAGGCAAACAAAACCAATCAGAAAAGCATACATTAGAAAGCCGCTCAAAAGGACATGCGCTTAATTTGACCATTCATTCTCTTCACATGAGAGCCAGTCACCAAGTGTGGAGCACGCTCTTCCACAGGAAATGTAATCAAGAGCTGAATAAAATTACTTCATAAATGAACCTAAGAAATTCATTTTTTGCTCTAACTTTATTTGGATAATAGTTTGCCAAATAGAGTCTCACATCTTTCATGCTAAAATTAGAGCGTATAGAAACCAGTTATCTTAGCAAATGCTAACTTCATATCACTCAGCCCCGACTATCTATAGCCCACAACAGAAAACACTGCTGCTGAGGTATTTATTTGTACAGCCTTAGACAGGCCTTTTGTAGGGCAACAGGAAACTGCTGTGCCTTCAACTTGCGGCAATCCTCCTGCTTCAGCTTCCCAAGTGGTAGGATTACAGGCATGAGCCATCAGGCCCAGCTACCAATGTGACCTATGGGAATTACCTTCCAAGTGCATACCCTTCCACCAAGGACCTCACATCAGGTCCCAACTAACACTAAAGGTTCTTCTACCCCACAGCTGGGGGACACTGGGAAGCAAGCCTTTAACACACAGGCCACTGGAAAAATACAGTATAAATAAAACATGCATAACCCACACTTTGGAATATTACTTATCCATGCAAAAGAGGTGTACTGGTACATGCTCCCACATGGATGGACCTTGAAAGGCTGCCTACTCTGTGACCCCATGTACAGAGGTACCGGAACAGGCAAATCTATAAAGAAGGCAGAAATGATGGCCAAAGGCTGGGGAGGGGGCAGGGAGCTAATTCTCACTGGGAGAGTTTCTTTTCAAAGACAGTGACGTGGTACCATAGTCTTATGAACATACCTGGGAGCATTGTTTTGTGTGTGTGAAATATATCTCAATTAAAAAGGAACACACCTGAAATACAGCAAATGGAGGAAACGCTACTGTGAACCTATTTTTTTTTTTTAATATTCTAAACAATGTTAAGATTTGAAAAGCCAATAATCTGGATTTGGGGTAGCAGGATCCACACCCACTTTCCTTTACAAAGCACACCTGAGATCCTTGCGCTCCGAGTTCCTCGGGTGACAAAGTGTGGCGTTCCAGTTCCTCTCTGCCTGAGTTATCCCACAGCTACTGTCACAGAGCTCTGGATGAAGCCAGAGTCAAGTAAGGTGTGTGAACTCAAGGAGGCCCCGATACTGAGTCTGGACGGCACCATCCCTGCCGGAGGAAACCCAGCCAGGGAGGCCCGCCGCCTTTGTCGTGAATGACTCGGTCACAGGCACCAGCTCCCTCCCTCCCCCTCTCTGTCTATCACTCTCTGTCTCCCCTCTCTCTCCTCTCTGTCTCTGTCTCACTATCTCTCTGTCTCTCTATCACTCTCTGTCTCTGTCTCTCTTACTGTCTCTCTATCACTCTCTGTCTCTCTATCACTCTGTCTCCCCTCTCTCTCCTCTCTGTCTCTCTCACTGTCTCTCTATCACTCTCTCTCTCTCTCTTGTACTTCTGTCTCCCGTTCTCAGTCATGTCCGTCGTCGTCGTGCATCGAGCACATTCCATCGTCCAGATCAGGGCCGCCTTCTGGGACGGCTTCTAGCATGGGAATTGGCGCACGGCTCCATCAATGTAGTCAGAGCACTCTTGGAGTTGTCAGCAAGGCTCTCAGGGAAGACCACCCCCTCTTCCTACTGCTGGGCAAGCCGGGGCAGGGTAAGTTTGAAACTGCTGCCATCCAAGTTCCCCAGAAGTGCGAAGGAAGTTAAAGGCACCATCTAACACACAGAGATGGAAGTTTAACAACATAGTGTGAGGCCCAGACAGTGACTGGAGCAAAGCTGGAGGTGGCCTGGACGTCAGGAGTACGAAGCAAGAGATGCTTTCACACGAGCAGACTGCTGGGCCACCCAGGAAGAGCTTGCAAGCACCGAGTGTCTCGTACTGAATATATAAGTAACTTGGTGGAAGTTACCGGTTCACAGGAACACCTTCATGAAACAAGGCAAGACAGCATGAGGAATGCAGGGAGGGAAGGCTGGCAGAGGAACGGGGCAGCCTCAGAAAGGCCGTCCACAAATTCAGAGGAGCGACGAGTCCCACTTGGAGCCGAGAATGCCTGGCTTTGATTCTGGTTTGGTCACTCACAGACCAGGGTTCTGGCCCAGTCACTCACCTCTTCGTAGCTCAGTTTTCATATGGGAGACAAGAATGACTGTACCTCCTGCTACACAGGGCTATTTTGGGTACTGACTTACACAGTACCTGACACAGTCCAAGAACTCAGAAATACCAGGTACTGTTGATGCACGATAAAAATCCCAACGTTAAACTTCTACATATAAAATAATACATTTATAGTGACTGATGCTTTAGGAAAGAATGGAATACAGAGTTTTTAAAACGAAATCGACGTCTCTATGCAATGGATATTAAACAGTCACTAAAAGAAAGGAAATGCTGTTGCACACCATGTGTGTAAGCCTTGCAAACACAATGCTAACTAAAAGAAAGGAAATGCTGTTGCACACCATGTGTGTAAGCCTTGCAAACACAATGCTAACTAAAAGAAAGGAAATGCTGTTGCACACCATGTGTATAAGCCTTGCAAACACAATGCTAACTAAAAGCCAGACACAGGATCACAACAGTGAATGGGACCATTTGTATAAAATGTCAGGAGCAATGACCATTGTTTCTTTCCTGGGTGATGGTGACACTCTAACACAAGCACAGTGGGCCACACCTGTAATCCAGCACCTGAGAGGCAGACGGGGAGTTTAAGGCCACATGTTCAAGGCCACAGTGGACTATGGGTGACCCTGTATCAAAAATCCCAATAAAGAAATAGATAAGATGTCCTGAGAGTAGACAGCGGTGTGTCTGTCTGCACAATGTATGACCGCTCTGGAAACCAGGGAAACACACATCTCAAACTGGTAAACGAGAATAATTACATCTCGATTTAAAAATGCAGCGGAGGGCTGGAGAGATGGCTCAGCTGGGAACCAGCACACACATCCACAAGCAGACACCAGACACCTAATTTTCAATAAATCTTCATAAAGGAAATCTGTATTTCCTTTAAACCTGTATTCCTTTAAATCTGTATTCCCTGTTAAACTCGACAGGTTCTGTCGACAAGGGACAAGTGGTTAATGGGCCAGTCCTGTCCCTATGGCTACGAGGGTGAGGAGCCAAGGATTACTGCTGTAGACAGTATAAAGCTGACTGGAAGCACAGGAAAAATGCATCCTAAGATTTGTGCTTTCAGAGGTGACAGGCATGTGATTATGTGGAGAAGTCAGGGGTAAGCATCGGCAATCTTCCTCAATCGTTTCTCCATTTTATTTTTTGAGAAATGGTCCCCTCCATCTGAAGGTCACCTTTGCAGCGAGGCCAGCAAGTCCTCAGAGAGCCAGGGTGAGCAGCTCATTCCATCGCACACGCCTTTTTACCAGAGCGCAGGCGCTCGTGTGCGCCTCCCCCCATTTTCCACTCTTTACCCTGCACCAACTTCCCAGCCCCAAAGCTGCGCTGTTTCAGGCGACATTTTACTCTTTATGAATCTGTTTGGGGGACTGGAGAGATGGCTCAGTGGTAAAGAGCACTAACTGCTCTTCCGGAGGACCCGGGTTCAATTCCCAGCACCCACGTGGCAGCTCCCAACTGTCTGTAACTCTGATTCCAGAGGACCCGACACCCTCACACAGACACACACGCAGGCAGAACACCAGTGCACACGACAGAAAACAAACTGTAAAAACCACTCTGCTCTGGGGCTTCGCAGACTGACAGTGTTTAGGAGCGCATGTTGCTCTTCCAGAGGACCCAGGTTCAGTTCCCAGCACCCTCATAGTGGCTCACAGCCACCCTTAACTCCAGTCCCAAGGGATCCGACGCCCTTTTGTGACTCCGCAGGTACCAAGCACACATGTGGTGCCCCACATTACATGCAGGTAAAACACATACACACAATAGTTTTTCTAAGCCTGTCCTATCTGCAGGGAAAGCACATTTAATGTCACACATTCTAACAAATTCTGTAGCGCTGATCAAACAGCTACTACCAGATCTACTAGAAAGACACAGGGCCTGATCCCTTTAATACATTCAGCAACATGTAAAAGTTTCTAAGAGTAATTGTCCCATAAAGTCTCTATGACCATTATGAAAACCAAGAGGAACATTTCAACTCTGCTCACTCGGGCAGTGGGCGGATGCCTGTGCCATTACACCCCACGGCGGCCCTGGAGAGGCGGATGCCTGCGCCATTACACCCCACGGCGGCCCTGGAGAGGCGGTGCCTGCGTCATTACACCCCACGGCGGCCCTGGAGAGGCGGATGCCTGCGCCATTACACCCCACGGCGGCCCTGGAGAGGCGGATGCCTGCGCCATTACACCCCACGGCGGCCCTGGAGAGGCGGTGCCTGTGCCATTACACCCCACGGCGGCCCTGGAGAGGCGGTGCCTGTGCCATTACACCCCTGGAGGGACAGCCCAGCAGGAGCAGTTCCTTGCAGCCTCACACAGAGCTATCTCCCAGCAACACACCTGCTCTGGAACCCTCAGCCTGAGGCCTGCCGATTCCAAGCTAGCACTCCCTCTCACCACGTCCCCTGCACCTGGGGAGCAGCGTGCACGTCATCTGGGAAGACGGCATTTTTAAAACATCTCATCGCATGACCAAGACCCGAAGTTGAGACAAAGTCCCACAACTCTGATCACGATGATCAATCACAGTGCACTTGGAAGCACTGGCACATTAAAAGAAACCAGCTGTCAGCTTATTTGAGATCCCAAAGGCTGTGTGTTGAGGCTGCATGACCAACAAACAAGGCGCTCACAACCTACGACTACTGAATGTTGGTAAAGAGTGTGACAGGGTAGGAATGGCTAAGGAGAGAAAAACACAGAAAGAAATGAGACAATAAAGGAGAGATACGATATACAAACCTACCGAAAATCAATATCCAATAAAAGGCTTTTAGTGTTGGACCTGTCGCCTGCTGCTGTCAGTCTGATCTGCTCGTGTAGCCTGCAGCAAGGAATGGAAGCAAAGTTAATAAGAAACTACAAATGCCACAGACAACCGGCAAACAAAACCCACCGCTCACCTCCCGCCTCAGATAATCCCACAAACACTGCAGAGAACCAGGCCCGGCTTAGCTTGGCAGATATTATTTAGAGCAGGGCTTAACAGAGAATCTAACATGAAAAACCCAGTCTCAGATCAGAAAGCATCCACCCTACATCCAGGCTTCTCTCAAAGGGATGTGGGCTGCGAACTCTGAGAGCTGTACTTCTTCCCATTTCCTCTTGCATCCAGAGCCTCAGGCCTCGCTCTGCACAGATTCAGACCCGCTTCATAGAAAGAAAGGTCTGTAAGCGTAAAGTAGCACAGCAAGGAGAACGTTCTACGGTGTCAAGGCCATACCTTGGTGTCCCAACACACAGGACTCTTCTAAACCCAAGGGTGGCAAGGAGGCCGGCCAGAAACCGGCAGCTCCTGTCAGCAAACAGGAACTGGGCGTGCGTCTTCTTGTTCTCCAGTGGGTAGAGCAGCTGACTGGGTTTTCGGAGCTGGGTGATGGAGATGTCAGACAACAGCTGATGCTCACTGTGCTCCCTCCAATCCGCAGGTAACAGCAATTGCTGGCAACTTTGACAGAACTTTCTTTGAGTCAGGGGCAACTGAACAAAACTCAGGTACCTTCAAGATACAACGAAGGACACAGGTAGTGCGTTTTAACTTTGTTTTTGTTTATTTATTAAGACAATGTACTTTGCTATTTTTAGTCCCCACAGAGTATTCTTACTTCCCGAAGAGTATTGCAGAGAGAAGCAAAAGTAAGAAAAAGGATGTACGGAATGTGCTAGAATTTATGTCTGGCTGTATACCTACAAAGTGGAAAAGAGTCAGCAATTTCATAAGAATTGAGATGCTCCAATTTAGTCACTGAATGAAGATCAATATCCATTTAAAATGTGAATATAATATATTACTCAAACAATTTAGTAGTTAATGGCAACTACCAGCACATTTAAATTTATTGACAAACCCATGTGCTCTAACTTGGACATGTTAAACAGTCTGGCTCAGCTGGCAGTCACTTTAAAATGAGAAATCAAAATCATTCTTCAAGTTCTTATGACATATTTAGCAAGAAAAATGACCTCCTGAAAGGAAAGATATTCCGACCGAGCTCTCTGCCCTTAGCTGTGAGCAGCCCCTCCCCAGGCCAGCAAGGCAGTGCCGAGAGCCTTTAAAGGACTATTGCGAGCCAGGTGTGGCAGCTTACGTCTGCAGCCCCAGCACCCATAAACTGAAGCAGGATGCTCATGAGCCCCAGGCCAGCCTGGGTCAGTGTGGGGCAGCCATTTTGTTTGCCCTCACGCCTGATCTCAGAGTTACTACATCTCAGTTTCATTTCTTCTCTTTTTTTCAGTGTAGTAGAGATTACTGAAGAAAACACAGTCATTATGTCTTGAAGGCTTTCTTTCACGTATGTGATGGTTTTCACGTATGTGTCATGTTACAAAGTCAGAGGGGGACACTAAAGGGAAGAACGGGGCCCACTGGGGACAGACGCGGGCAGAGGTGTGAAACACTGGCGTGGCACACAGCACTGTGCTATAGGGTCCCTGCAGCCTGGCAAGTCAACGGGGTCAGCCCAGCCAATGTGGGGAGCTGCACGGCAGAAGCTGTGAGAGCGGAATCTAGAGCACTAGAACTTTGCCTACACAGTTTCACTGCAGAGGTCCCAAGGCAGTGACAAATATTCTAAACTGCTCCAGCAAGAAATCAGCTGCCTGCCCACGACTGGTGTCCCTTGCCCCGTAAGTGCCCCTCTGATAGCTTTACTCAAGGCCTCAAGGGAAAAAGAGAGGAGGAAACTTCATAGTGACACCCAGGAAGGTCAGCAGGAAGGGCTCCAGACACAGAAGGCCAGTGGGAAGAGAAGCAGGGCCTTCTGCAGCCCGACGCCGAATCACCATGGCTGCCTCTCCACCCCGGGATGGACTGAGTGCACACTTACCATTCTGACCCTCAGACCCCTACAAAACGTACAGAGTAAGTTTCAGATACTGTACAACAGGTCACTCAAAACAGAGACTGGAGGGGGGGTGGGCAGCTGGCCACACATCACCTGGAAGGAATGAACGGATCATGACTGACTATCCACAAGGACCCCAAAAGAGCTTTGTACCAAAACCAGAGCAGGAAACCCTGCTGTGTCCAAGTCCCGGGGCAGCACTCAGAAAGGCCGGCTCGCTGGTGTGCTGGAAAGACGGCATTGTAATGGGTGAGAGCATGAGCTCTGAAAGCATTAGGACTGGACACATCCCGGCCCCTACTCACAAGCTGAGCACAGCTACACGTGCTAATAACTCTGGCAGCGACCGGGCAGGGGCAGCAGCAAAGACAGACAGATCCCTTACGAAAGCGGCAACCAACTTCCACAGCCTGAGAAACCCCGAGGCTGACATCTTACTGAGGAGACTCGAAGCTGTCCCCTAAGCCTGACACAAGCTAGTCTCAGATTTCATCTGCTAGACTTCCCAGCCAACCTAATCAGACAAAATAATGAATGGACAGGGAACATTAAAATGTCGCCAATCGCCGTCAACATTGTCATATATGTATGACGCCCTAAGGAAATCCTCAGAAAGGCTGCTGAACTAGTAAGCAAATGTACCCAGGTTGCCAAGCAAACACTTGTGTGGAAAATCGACAGTACTGTTACAGGGTTAGTCTCCAGTGCAGGGAGGAAGGGAGGGAGGGAGGGAGGGAGGGAGGGAGGGAGGGAGGGAGGGAGGGAAAACAAAGCGAGCAGGCGGTGGAAGAATGGAAGACATCTTGGTTTGCCCCACGTGAGCCTCAATGAGGCAGTCGGCAGTGGGTGTTTCTACTGCTCTATGCACTAAGTAGTGATCGGATTCTGTGGCCCTCCCTAAGCTCTGGGCAGTTACCAATTACTGCTACTCATCACCAGCTGAAAGGCTGGCAGAGTTTACGTGGGTAGCTAACATCCATTTAACACATAATAAAAGCGAACAGTTAACCAGTCTCCCTCACAAAACACAAAAAGACGCAACAGTCGGAAGGCTAATTCTAAAAGACTCATCCAAAAGAGCTGCAGCTACTACAAGCCAGGACAGTTCTTCTCAGAGCCTCGGGACTAGTTGCTCCTACTGCCTAAGACAGATCTTTTAAATTGAGACCTAATTCACATACCACACAATTCAACAGTTGCTGTGTTCGTCAATGGTAGATAGGATGTTTACAAAGTCATGCCATTGCCTAATTCCAGATCATTTTCTCACCACCAAAAGGAACCTCACCCCATGGGCAGCTGCTCCCCGGTACCCGACCCTCAGCCTTGGCCACTACTGATCCATTCCTAGTCTCCTCCGGGAGTTTGCCAACTCTAGACATGTCGCATAAACGGACTCACAGAGTAGCTACACAGAGATTCTTATGTAGAACTTTTAAATGGAAACTGCCTTGTCTTGTAGCCAAATAGACACATAAACAAGTCCAGGCAAAGGGTTATTATGGGCACTAATGCAAGTCACAGAATCAGAACAAAGGTTAGGACCACAGCTGCAACACAACGCAAGAGGAAGGCATAGAAGGAGAGAGAGGCTGGGGGCCAGCTGGGGTGGAGAGGGTTGCTGTGGGATGGCACATAGGCCCACACACACCTACACCCAAGAGTCAGGTATTAGAACTCTAAGACATATTCAAAAGCGTGAGCTAAAGAAAAAATCAGCTAAAATGAAAGTGGCAAGCGCAAGGAAGGGTCTGTCCCCGTTTTACAGGGAGAAAGGTACCAAGGAGGGCTCGCAAGGGGACTCCCGCTAAGCACGGCCATGAGAGCCCGATCCCAGGGCTCAGGAAAGCACAGTGGGAGGGACAGCGCCCAGAAGCTGGCCCCGCCCTCTCTGTCTGCGCTGTGCCCCACGCGCACCAACCTCACACACATTCACACAAGTCGTGATAGAACAACGTAAGAGGACAAAGGAGAAGCAAAGGCAGACACCAAACCCCAGGGCACGCCGCCTGCTGCAGCAGGGTGAGAATGGGCTGTGGCAGTCACAATACAGCGGCTCACTTCATGTGTCAGAGGTGCTTAGACGTGACTTTGCCACATCACAAATGAGCAGCGGCAGTGGGCCCTCACAAAGGAAGCTGAAGGCAGAAGCCACGCAGTCTCGTCTCGAGGAATTAAGTGTGGTGGTTTGGATGAAACGTTCTCCGTGTGTCTCAGGTATCTGAGTACTTGGTACCCAGATGGTGGCCGTGGGTGTGGCCCTGCTGGAGGAGTACGTCACTGCGGGGCGGCTCTGAGGTTTCAAAGCTGATGCCAGTTGGTTTTCTCTATCCCTGCTGTGGTTCATTCAGGATGTGAACCCTCCGGTGTTCCCGCTACACTCACCATGCCCAACTAAATGCTCCCTTTTACCACGGTGCCTTGGTCTCAGTGTTTTATCCCAACAACAGAAAAGCAACTAACACAGAGCGATAGTGGGCAGGCAGGGCCATTCACCCACCTGAGAGTAACTAAGACCAAAAGAGCAGAGAACACTACTATCAGACCCTGATTGCTCCCTTCCTTTCGGGACTTCCAAGCTACTCTTCCGAGACCTCCATCACCAGCTCGTTCCGCCTTCCTTGATGGAAGATAAACAGATCTTACGTTTCTTTCCTATCTCATGACCACCACATCAGCATTCACCTACACTGCTTTAAATCCAGCACTCTGACAGGCTTTTGAAGTTTGAGAGAATGAAGGAACAGGGGAAGGAAGCTCTCAGGATTACTGCACACGCCCTGAGGGAGAGGAAATTTCATTCTGCAGCATGGCTCAGCATGATTCACAAACTGCAGGCTAGCATTTTGAAATGTCATTTTTATTGATCTCCATTTGATGTTCCATTTGCCTTTCTTGGAGTACACAAATTATGTTTATGGCATTTGTCTAACAGCAGACCTTGAAAATCTAAGTTTAAATGAGTTCTGAAAAAAAAATAACCAAATGAAATATCAACCAAGCAAAATTATCCGAATGCACATAAATTAACACTGATCTCCACATTCCAATTTATCTTCCATGCAGACTTCATAGGTCACAATAAGGATGGAAGCACGCCATATAATAGAATATTAACACATTTTAAAGCATAACAGGCAGTTAAGAACTATAAGGAAGAGCAAATCTCAGGCACAAAAGATAAACCTGTCAGCCGAGCATCTATGAAATATAACACGATTCAAAGACCACATTAGAAAAAAATGCTTATCAAATTCCACTCCATAAACCAGAAATCTGTGCAACATTCCCAGGCCAAAACAAAAACTGGGTGACAAAGATCTATTAATCCTACTGCATTATTCTTTCCTAACAATTTCAAAACAACACAAGCCAAATGGGAATCATGCATGGTCCATGCCTCTAAGCCCAGCAGTTGGGGGGAGGGGAGATTGAGGCAGGAAGATTGCAAGTTTGAGGCTAGCCTAGGCTACATACCAACACCTTATCTAAAAAAAAGAAAAAAAGCTCTTCCTACTACACTGAGACCATGGTTGCTGTCTACCCTGAGTATCAAGTTTAAATACAATTTATACTTGCAATATAGTTCTTTAATAAGCTAACTTGCAGTTGAGCTGACATAATTAAACTACCTAAATTAGAAAATAATAATCATAATCTAAAGAATATATCACCCTTAGGTTCATACACACACGAAAATGAACTCCTACTCTCAACATGAAGGGACATTAAGGGAACAGACAATCCAACGAGCTTTGACTTGAAAAACGCCAAGATCTCAACGTGATTTCCCTTAAGGTAAATCTTAGAAGAATGACCCACCTAGAATGCTTACTCCACACAGCATATAACAAAACATAGGGGCACTGACTAGGAAGCAAAGCAGTGAAATCAATTCAGCCTCTATGACTTTCCCAAACCCGATCAGATGGCACGCCCTCACAGTGTGCAGGTCAGCTAATGCACAAGTCAGCAGTAATGTCCTCGCCTCCCCGAGCATCTAAGTCATCTCAACAAAGTGAGCTGAAGCTCACAACACATTCTTCATACTCTACATCTTTGTAACTATACAGGTTTATGTGTGTGTGTGTGCGCACGCGCGCGCGCACACACACACACACACACATACACATAGACACCCTGTCTCAAAAATCCAAAATAAAATATACTTTATCTGGTCTGGAAACATAATTCAATGGTGGGTGTCTGCCTCGAATACAAGTGTGAAAAATAACTCCCACACTCTGGTAGTACGGGATGAGAACAGAGCTCTACTTCCAGACTAGAAGTTTAATATGCAGAGGAGAAAAAAAAAAACCCAATAGCAAATCCTATATGACTGCAAAAGGGATGAGCTGCTGGGCAGAAAGCGCGGGCCATGCTTTCCTACTTCTCAAAGCACTGATATTCTGTCGCTTGCAGTGGTGATAATCATGTCCTGATGTATCTTTATCTCCTGTCCACATACAGTGAACCAATATTGGCCACTGTTGACTATCTGCCTTCTTGCTAACATGATGCTGTGGATCAGAGGCCAGGAGCATAAGCCCCAGTGCAGCCACTTCCTAACAGGGAGGCCTTCAAGCTCCTTCAGCGCTCCAAGCCTCCATTTCCCACCCAAGCCAGCAGCCCTGGCAGGACTGAGTGTCACCTCAGGTAAAGCAGCTAGCAGAGTGCTTGCTCGCACTCACTAACTTCTCAACATTTTTCACTGTTGACTGAGTTAAGAACTAAAGCGAAGGGGCAATCAAGTTATCTTTAGAAAAGCATCCTCTATCACAAGTTTTAACCTCTAAGAAGGCTCCGGCAAGATATTTTATTTACTTATTCACTTACAGTAGTTTGGGTTGTTTGTTTTATTTTGTTCAAGACAGGATCTGTCTTCCTAGTCCTGGCTGGCCTGGAACTCACAGACAGAAGCACCTACCTCTGACTGATTAAAAGATTAAAGGACTAAAGGAATCCACAACCACACTCAGATTCAAGCAAGACATTTTAAACAGGCTGGACTCCTTTTTAGTTGGTCAAAATAAGGCCTCACAGTGCTGAATGCTGAAGCATGGGCAGCAGAAACAAGAACTATAAAAGAAAATATCTGCCATCAGTAAACTGTCAATCAGATGAGGCTTCCTGGACAGCTTCGCCCAGCACATGGAGACCTATTCCTAAGAGTCAGGGCAGAAACGAATTCTTGTCAGATTTCCTACCAAAAGAAATGTACAAATTCCAATACATCCAATAACATTTTAATAATGCCAGTTTAAAATGTTTACAGCTTTCACCTATAATCCTGCCCTTGAGAGGCAGAAGCATGCAGATTGTAAGATCAAATCTAGCCAGAGAGAGCTATATAGTGAGATCCTATCTCAAAATAAAAAGCAAAAAACATAAAAAATAGGGGAGGGGTGTTACTGGAAAGATGGCTCATCTGTTAAGAAAGGACACATTCTTCCAGTGTACTCAGTTCCAGTTCCCAGAATGAACATGGTAGCTCATAATAAGCTCCAATTCCAGTTCCAGGGAATCCAATGCCCTTCTGTGGCTCTGCAGGCACCAGGCATGAATATGGCCCACAGACACACATGAAGGCACAGACTCACAAAATAAAAGTAAATCAATTCTGCAAGCCCATGGCTAGACAGATCTCTGCAATTCAGCCACGGAGCACTCGAGCTCAATGAGAAGAGCAAGAGGACACACATGGATGCCAACACAGTCAGGAGTTGTGCAACTAACTGGAGGTCGTGAGGGAAGCAGAAGCCAAGGAATGAGCCCACTCGGCTGTCTCCTCCCTCAGTAAACCTTACCACACAGGCGCGCGCACACACACACACACACACACACACACACACAGGACAAAAGTAGTTGAATAAGTAATTCTCCAAAGAAATCACAGATGCCAATATATACATGAAATAATGACCAACATCAGCACTAATAGGGAAATAAATATCAAAACCACAACATTCTAACTACTAAGATGACAATACCAAAGGAAAAAAAAAAAGGGAGTGGTGTCTGTGGTCCAAGCCTGATGACACATAAGCTGGGCACGTGTCACATCATACGCACTCACAGTGGCCCCGTGGGAAGGTAGTGGGTGGGCGGGGAAAGCAGATTCCCTGGAAGCTTGCACACAAACTAGCCTGGTTCACACAGCAGTAAACACAGCAGACCCCATCTCAAGTAAGCTGAGGGACACCTCTGGAAGATGCCCTATGACCTCAAGGTGTATGCTGCGGCAGAACGTGCACGCGCACACCTGCATTCACAGCATGCGTGGCTAGCTCAGTCGGTAGAGCATGAGACACACGTGCACACATTAAAAAATCATAATAACATAGCTAAGATGTAGTTTAGAGCTACATCGCTTGCCTACCATACGCAACACCTATGGTGTTTAATCTCTTGCTCTATATACAAAAGAGTAAATGTTAGCCGGGCAGTGTAGGTGCACACCTTTAATCCCAGCACTTGGGAGGCAGAGGCAGGGGATCTCTGTGAGTTCAAAGGCAGCCAGGCCGACAAAGTAAGTTCCAGAACAGCTAGGAGTACACAGAGAAACCCTGTCTCACAAAAAAATAAATAAATAAATAAAATAAAAAAGTAAATGTTAGCAAAAACGTAGAGAACCTCTATCCATTGCTGGCAGGGACTTGTATTCAGCCACAGTGGAAATGTTTGTCAACTCCTCAAAAAAAAAAAAAAAAAACAAAAACAAACAAACAAAAAAACCAGTTACCACATGACCAAGCAAAACCCCCTCTGTGTCCACTGGAAAGACAGGAAAACACCTACTTTATATGTCTGTGATCACTGCAGCATTCTTTATTCACAACAAGCAAACCCAAAGCCCATCAACGGATGGATGGATTTTCAGAATGTGGTTCATACACACAATGAACTATTACTGAAAAAAGAAAGCTTTGTCATGTGCTCTAACGTGGATGTGCCTTGCAAACATGCTAACTGTAAAAACTCACAGCTATCAAGAATAGCCAGTATATCATTCCACTCATGTGTGCCCAGAATAATAAAATTCATAGCAACAAAAAGTAGGTAAGGGTTTGGGGGAGGTAGAATGAGGAGTTATTACTTCATGGTGACAGAATTTCTGTTTGACCGGATAAAGACGTTTAGGAAATAGCAGTAATGGTTGCACACACTGTAAATGTAATCAAAGTCAGTGAACTGTATACATTACAAATGATTAAAATGGAAAGCCTTGTGATAAAAACAAATAAATGAAAGTAAGCTTAAAGGAACAAGAAAGAAAAGAAACATTACTGTTAAATAATAAAGAAAAAAGACATCACACCTTTCTATGCACTGTGCTCGGGATAGAGGGGGCTGGTGTCTCTGGTTATAAGCTTCTCTGGCAGCAAGTCTAGCTTCCGACAACTGAAAAACAGCAAACCTCATTCAGTCACTTATTTACTTATTATCAGGCGGGTGGGACAACCCCCCCCCCCATCTTGGACTTTTCAGTCTCGACGGCTCTCGAGAAATAAATGATTGTTGTTTTATAATATTCTCGTTACAAAAAGGTTGCTGGGAGTAGCGGTGTGAGTTTGGGAAACAGAGGCAGGCACTGTGAGTTGGAGGCCAACCTGGTCTATATCATAAATTACCCAGGGGTAAATAGTGAGAGACCAAAAATAAACCAAAAAGAACTAATAAGTTGCTGGTCAATGGTGCACGCCTTTAATCCCAGCACTCGGGAAGCAGAGGCAGGCAGATCTCTGTGAGTCTGAGGCCAGCATGGTATACAGCATGAGTTCCCCAACAGCTAGGGCTGTCAAAACACTAAAATTCAATTAAACAATGAATTTGAAGTTAAAACACAGAAGTTCCTACACAAATTATCTTTTGAGACAGTAACACAAAACACCAAAGTTCAGAGTTAAGTAATAACTCTATTCCCCAGAATTAAAAAAAAAAAAAAAAAAATCCATAGCTTGGGATTTCATCCCTGTTAAGGTATTTGTCTTGGGGCTCAGCCGTTGAGGTGAAATACTACCCTAAGACCCATATCCATTCAAAACACCAACACCAGGAGGCTCAGAACCGCCTGTAACTCCAGTTCTGATACCCACAGGCGCTGCACGCACCCATAAAAAGGCACACACACACATACACACACACACTCACACACATACACTCTCACACACTCACACACATTCATACACACACTCACACACATTCATATACATACTCACACGCACACACACACTCTCACACACATACATACACACACATACACACTCACACACATACACTCACACACACTCTCTCACAGACACTCACACACACACTCACACACGCACACACTCGCTCTCTCTCACACACACACTCAGACACACACTCACACACACATACACTCACACACATACATACACACTCACACTCACACATGCGCACACACATACATACACACACATACACTCACACACACACTCTCACACACTCACTCTCTCTCACACTCATACACACACGCACGCACACACTCACACACACACCCATACACACTCACACACACACCCATACACACACTCACACATACACTCACACACACATACACTCACACTCACACACATGCACACACTCACACACATTCATATACATACTCACACGCACACACACACTCACACATACACTCACACACACTCTCACAGACACTCACACACACATACACTCACACACATACATACACACTCAGACACACATGCACACACTCACACACATACATACACACACACACTCACACACACTCTCACACGGGCACACTCACTCACTCTCTCACACACTCACACGCACACACATGCACACACTCACACACACATACACACTCACACACCCATACACACACTCACACATACACACACTCACACACATTCATATACATACTCACGCACACACACACTCACACACACACACACTCACACACACACTCACACACACACTCACACAGACACTCACACACACATACACTCACACACATACATACACACTCAGACACACACACTCACACACATACACTCACACACATACATACACACTCAGACACACACATGCACACACAGTCACACACACACACACACATACACACACTCACACATACACACTCACACACGCACACACACACACTCACTCACACTCACACACACATAAACCGATCTTACAAATACCAGTGTACTAAAATAAATCAAAGACAGCGTCTTACGTGCTGTGTTTAAACCGCGTGCTTACCGGTTCATTCTCGATTAAAAACCCGGCCCCAAATGCTCGCGTACCTTTTCATCCTCCCACTGAAAGAAATTGCAGTCCTTTCTATCTCTGCAGGCTGAGCAGGCATAGAACTTCCGCGGCTCCTCCTTCCCTTGGCTCACTTTTACAAACAGGAGAGTGGGCCCTAGATCCACAAGAGGAAGGGAGGGAAAAGGGAAGGCGTCAGGCGCTGGTCCGAGCACGCAGCGTAGCGCACTGAAGTAACCGCCACGGCATGCACTGCCGTCACGGATGAACTTCGCTGCCTGCAGGCGCTGGCAGCCCTGACACCTGCGCTGCGAAGGCGGACAGTACCGTGTGGGCACCGCGGGGCGGGAGCCGCGGGGTCCGAGGGCGCCGACACCTCCACGGCGGACGCCCGGCGCCCGGCGCCGCCTCCCTCCTCTGCCTCCAGGCCGCCCACGGGCGCCGCCATCTTCCCGCCGCCGTCCCGACGGCCTCCGCCCCAACAGAGCGACCGACGAGGCGGAGAAAGAGCGGCGCCGCGGCGCCGGGGAGCCACAGCGCCCCGCGTGGCCGGGAGGAGCCACGGCGTCGGCCCTGGGAGCCCGAGCGCCTGCGGGGCGGGGCGGGGCGGGGCGGGGCGGGGCGGATAGACCCCAGCCTGTGTAACCTGGACAAGGGATGTTTTGCTTTTTTTGGGTTTTTGTTGTTGTTGTTGTTGTTGTTGGTTTCGGTTTTTCAAGTCAGCGTTTCTCTGTGTAACAGCCACCACTGTCCTGGCACTCGCTGCTGGCCTCGAACTCACGGAGACCCGCCTGCCTCTGCCTCCCCGGTGCTGAGATTAAAGGTGTGCGCCATTCACACACATACACACACGCACGCACGCGCGCGCACACACACACACACGATGAATCTTTAGAACAAAAATTTGATCCGATTATAGAGCCAAAAGGCCAACAAAGAGCTGAGACAGTAGCTGAAGTAGCTAGCAGCTCAGCAGCTTTGCTGGGTTTTACAAAGCCACGGTACCGGCTAGACTCTGGTTTTGTTTTGTGCAGGGTGGGGGTGGGGGTCTCATGTAGCCCAGGCTAGCCTTCCAACTCCTGAGCAGCAGAATATGACCTCGAACTCCTGACCTTCTGTCTCCACCGCCCAGATACTGGGATTACCAGCGTGTATCACCATGCCTGGAGCTCATCTAACGTTCACTTTTGTAACTCGTTACTGAATTCCCATTGATATTTGCACCTCAGTAAAAGAGGGTCCCCATTTGCCAGTGACAGTTTTACGGTGAAAATAACAAATAATGTGTGTGCAAGTGTGTGCCTTGTGTGAATGTGCGAGCATGTGCATGTGAGTTGCCTGTGTGTGCATTGTGTGAGTGTGAGTGTGTGCAGTGTTTTTTATTTGTGTTTTGCCTGTGTGAAGGTGTCAGATCCCCTGGGACTAGAATTACAGTTAAAAGCTGCCATGTGGGTGCTGGGACTTGAACCCTGGTCCTTTGGGAAAACAGCCAGTGCACTTAACCTCTTGAGCTACCTCTCTAGCCTCCATGATGTGTGTGAGGTAATTACACACAGCTCTTCTGGGAAAAGTAAGAATCCAATGACATCACTCGTGTGGCATGCGGGACCCTAGCTGGAATCACAAGGCATGCTCAAGTGGGTATTGAGGGAGGTTTCATAGGGCGGCTGTTTTCTAAATTGTGGGTGAAGTTAATCTAAACCACCAAGAAGCCTGACTGACCTTGGGACATCGACAGTGAGTGCCATTTCCTTCCTAGTCTACAGATGTTAATCCCACGGCATGAGAAAAAGACCACAACCACAATTTTGGAAGCAAATTTAACGCAAGCTCTTTTAAATACGAGCCAGGACTATAGATGCTGATCAGGTCCATACTCAGAGGAGTCCCAGAGTATTATGCCAAATTACATTATTCAAGGGTTCACAAAAACAAACTGAGTCAGGTGGTGGTGGCACACACCCTTAATCCCACTACTCAAGAGGCAGATGGATCTCTGAGTTTGAGGCCAGCCTGGTCTACAGAGTGAGTTTCAGGACAGCCAGGGCTACATAGAAAAACTGTCTAGAAAACCAAACCAAGGGGCGATCGGAGTCCTATTAGAGCGCAATCATGTTTATTATGTCCTATAACAGAGGGGCCGTCATGGCCATGAAGGGAAAAAACTGTGTGGCCATCGGTGTGGACAGGCATTTTGGGATCCAGGCTCAGATGGCGACCACGAACTTCCAGAAGCTTTCCCATGGGTGACAGGCTCTACATAGGCCTTGCCGGGTTGGCTACCAATGTCCAGACAGTTGCCCAGTGCCTCAAGTTCCGGCTGAACCTGTATGAGCTGAAGGAAGGTAGGCAGATCAAGCCTTACACCCTCATGAGCATGGTGGCCAACCTTCGTATGAGAAACGGTTTGGTCCCTACTATACAGAGCCTGTCCTTGCTGGGTTGGACCCGAAGGCCTTTAAGACCTTCATTTGCTCTCTAGACCTCATCGGCTGCCCCACGGTGACTGATGACTTTGTAGTTAGTGGTACCCTACTCCGAACAAATGCATGGGATGCGGAGTCTCTCTGGGAACCCAACATGGACCCAGAACACCTGTTTGAAACCATTTCCCAAGCCATGCTGAATGCTGTGGACCGGAGTCATTGCATGGCGTCATTGTCCACATCATTGAAAAGGACAAGATTACCATCAGGACACTGAAAGGCCCGGATGGACCAACTCTGTAATCTGGTCCTGGTTTCCTTTTGTTGTTTTTTCTTAATAAAATTGCTTTTCTTTCAAAAAAAAAAAAAAAAGAAAGGAAGAAAGAAAGAAGAAAGAAGAAAACCAAACCAACCCTCCCCCCCCCAAAAAAAAAGGAAGGAAGGAAAAGAAAGACCAAACCCACAAGTTTATGCCCTTTGCACCTCCATCCATTCAGGGGCAAGCATACACCCTTACATATTTCCTATGGCCCTCCTGCCTACGTGTGAGACTGTACACCATGCTTGTTTACAGGCAGAACTGAAATCGGAGCTTGTTACCTTATATGAACAATCCCCCGCATTCCAGGGAGTTATTGTCCTTGGGCAAGTGGGGCTCACAAGTTAGAGGCATTCTTGTTTTATTGATCTTTTAAGCACAGTGAATTAAACTTAAAATATAAATTAGCCATCACACAGAGCCAAGGGGGGGACTACAGTTTCGGTAAACTGTAGCATGGTAAGACAGTGCAGATATTCCTCCACCTTGTATTCTTGCTGAGATCACTTTAACTAGAACTTGACTTCCTTAATGGAAAGCCCCCTGGAAAATTACCCAACTCTATTCCAGGAATGGAAAGTCCAGATGCTAACTTTATCTTAGCTTCTGTTAAACTGCTTGCTTGTGTACAATCTCCCTCTGTAACTGCTACTTGAGATAACAAGATGATCTGCCTTTAAAGCCCCTTATTGAAACAGTGCTACACTTGGGTTTGAAATTCCTGAGTGTAATCCCAGGTTTGTGGCTGAGTGGTCTTGTCTGGTGGGCTCTCCGCAACAAAACAGAATCTATAGCAAGGGTAGTCCTAAAAAGATATGAGGTCTTCTATCATGCAGGACCCACAGGAAAGTGACTGCTGATACAAGAGGGACATTGCTACAGGGTTTCTGCTTCATGGAAGAGTCTGCCAGACAGTCTGCAGGACACAGAGAAAAGTGACTGACAAACTGCCAATACAGGTGGACAGTTTGAAATTTCCTGGTTTGCTGAGGAGTCTGCCAGACACATTATGGCCTATGGGCTGAAGATGGAACATTACAGAAGAACTTCGGGTGACCGACTAGGCAATGAGTTGTCTCTGTCATTTCTAGAGTTTATATACTATCCTTCTGTGGTCTTTGAGGGAGTTGAAGACAAATAGTTATGGTTATAGTTTTCCATAGTTAGGATTAAAGATAAGTTACATAGACTTTAGACTCACAAATATAGAGTAGATAATGTAATATTTTCTTTACATCTTGCTAAATGTTAATGGACTAAATATTGTTAACTGCGATTCTTGTTTGATAACTGTTTTGTCATATAATTTGCTATGCTAAGGTTAAAACCGTTCTTTTTATTTCAGACAGAAAAGAGGAGATAATGGGAGATGTCATTCTATAAATATGTTTCTCATATTGGCTAATGAATAAAGCATTGTTGGCCAATGGGAGAGCAAGATAGGCGGGACTAGGAGACAAGGAGGATTCAGGCATAGATAGAGGAGAAGACTTGAGAGAGCAGAGGTCCAGATCCTCTCTCCAGTAAGATAGACCACGTGGAAATATTTAGATTAATAGAAATGGGTTAATATTTAAGACAGAGCTAGTAACACAGAAACGCTAGTAACAGGACAACAGCTTTATATCTAATACAGTGTCTCTGTGTGTTATTTGGGGCTGGCGCCAGGCTGGTGGACAAACATGCTCATAACAGTCTTCCATAGGACTCAGGAAACCACGACCAGCCACCAAGGCAGAAGTTTGGGGTAAATAGGAATTTGTAATGGGGACACACAGGCACACAAATGAGTATCGCTAAAATATGCATGCTCTCCAAAGTGGTCTGCGGAGGTTGGAGGGTAAAGATTCCCACCCCTGCTCCCCTTTGGCCCTCACGTCTTTCTTCTGCAGAAAGCGATGGACACTGAGGAGTATCAAGGCTGTCAACACTGCCATAATGTTGAGCCCAACCAGGCACAAAGCAGGGCAGAAAGGATCTACAGGAGAATGGACACCGCCCTGTGCGGCCTGGAAAACGTGAGCACAGCATGTGGGAAAATAAAAGCTCTACGGCAGGTAGCACTCAGAATAGATAATAAATGGCAACAGACAGTAAAAGTGAATTTTCCACACCGTGGGCAGTTTTAGCCCACATACCGCCGTATGCACTGCAGACCCAAACTCCCTGGCCACACCCAGCATTGTTCCCGCTTCATTGCTCAGTCAGAAGCGTTCTCATTGGCAGTCCTCCAGGACGTACACCAAACTCCTGTGCCAATGCTGACAACTCAGCCTGCACTGTAGGCTCTTGAGATTTGACATGGGGGTAGGGGCGGGGGTGGTGGGGTGGTGGTGGTGTCATACCTGCTGTGCAGACAAGCACAGAGTGTCCCGGGAAGATAACGGCATTTTAAGTTAGTGGTCCGCGGCAGCACGCATTCCCATCCCCTCCAATGGAGCAGAGAACAGGGGTCGCCAGATGCTAAACTGTTTAGTAACCAAGCTAGGCAGCTGCCAGGCCATGCTGGCCTGAGACAGCATGTGGGTTCAGAGCACTTCCCCTTTTCCAAGTGCTACAGAATGCCCCCTGAGCCACACTAAGATGAAAGGCAGTGCTATTCACCACAATGCCACTGGGCACCCACATCTGGCTAGACCAGTTTCCCGGGCCCGGTTCCCTGCATGTTTACATAACTCTCCCCTGAGGAAGTTCTTTGCTGCTACTTACTGTCTGGAGCTTCTGAAGCCTTCAGGGGAGACTTCTGCTGCAGGTGTCAAACGAAAGCGGGCAGCTTACAGGAATTAGCTCCTGCTCACTGAAACCGTGCGCTCTCGAAGTCCAGCTCTAAAATACCAACGAGAGGGCTCCCAAGAGCAGCAGCCAGTTTTTTTCACAGACCAGACCCAGGTATCAGGAGCCTGAACCAATGCCTTTTGAAATGTGGCATCTTTCCTGAATGCATCTCTTCCCACTGACCACAGGGGCCTTCTCTTCAAAATCCCAGGTTAACTCTCCGACAGAGAACTCTTGCAGAGAACAAGTTTGCAATAGCTTTACTATGTTTGTCACCATGCTCCAAGAAATCTACTGACTCCAAGGAATCCACCTGTACACATATTCCTTTTATGCAATAATCAAAGCCTTAAGCATGGATGCTTTCCTGCCCTGAGTTCCGTCAGTGACAGACTGTGATGTGGATATGTAAGATGAAATGAGCCCTTTCCGCCCTAAGCTGTGTTTGGTCCTGGTGTTTTACCACTGCAATAGAAACAAACCTAACTAAGACGGTGAACAAGATCTGCTATTTGCTTCTAGAGCTTTCTGCTCTCTTTTACCAGGCGCTTTGAACTTGGGATCCCGCCTTTGGCTTGCAGGGCTGGGGTTACAGGGTTGCCCCTCTGAATTACCTCGGTATCTTTGTTAAACACCAGTTTACCACATAGCTATAGTCTCCTTTTAACCCTCTACTGAGAATACTGATCTTTCTGTCCGTACCACACTGCTTAGTAACAGCTGCCAAGGCTTTTTTATTTATTTATTTATTTATTTTGAGACAGGGTTTCTTTGTGTAACCTTGACTGTCCTGGAACTCACTCTGCAGACCAGGCTGCTTCGAACCACCTGCCTCTGCCTCCTAAGTGCTGGGACTAAAGGTGTGCACCAACATTGCCTGGAGCTTTCAAAGTTTTGAGACACAGTAAAATACTTCCTCCAACTGTTCTTTCTGGGTTATTTTGGCCAATATGTTTTCATATGCATTTCACAACCGTATTTGCAATGTTAGCCAAAATTTCTCAGTATATTGTGTCCAATCGATAAATTTGAGAAGTGGTCTTCAATATTTTTAAGTATAAGCCCTCTCTTCATGTGAGTATATCTTATTTTGACAATACTAGGGATTTAATCCAGAGCCTTGATCATGTAAAGCAAAGCTGTGGCCCTGAGCTATAATAGACCCCTGTATCCTTATCTTCAGCACTCTTCCACAGCCCAGTGTTGAGATGCAGGGTATCTTCAGTTCAGTTTATTCCTAAAGTCTAATGTGTTTTGATGCATATTGACAAATAGTGTTTTGCTTTGCTTTGCTTTTTTCTTCTCAGGCAGGGTTTCTCTGTTTAACAGTTTGGTAGACCTGGCTGGTCTCAAACTCTCTGCCTCTGCCTCCCAATTACTGAGATTAGAGATGTGCACCCACCGCACCCAGTGTATTTTTATTTTTCTAATTAATGTTTTAAACTTAATTAAAAATACTCATTCTAACCCTAATATTTATCTATGTAGATTCTTGAGTTTCCTACATCATTAAGTCATCTTCAAATCACTGCTTCTTCCCTGACCTTTACTCCTTTTCCTTGGTACCTGATGTCCTTCTCTGCGGGTCAGGCTCTCCAGAGCACAGACAATCAACTTAAGAAGAATCATATAATTTTCGTTAACATGTTTCAAATTTAAAACTTCCAGTTGCTTGCGCGCACACACACACACCCCTCTACCTTTTGGCATAATAAGGGATTAAACCCCATAACTTATATGAAAAGTAATGATTCTCAGAATTTAGTGGTCCAGTCTAGCACGTGCAAGGCCCTGGGTTCCACACTCAGCACCACAAGGTCCAAAGTGAATTAAAAAAAAAAAAAAAATGTACTGTTGTGCTTCAGTGACAGTGCTACCCCACGGGCTCAGTGTGCCTCACGGGGTATGTGTGAGTGTGAGTGAGTGTGTGAGTGAGCGTGTGTGTGTGAGCATGTGTGTGTGTGAGTGTGTGAGTGCGTGTGAGTATGTAAGTGTGTGCATGTGTGAGAGTGTGTGTGTGAGTGCGTGTGAGTATGTAAGTGTGTGCGTGTGTGAGAGTGTGTGTGTGAGTGAGTGCGTGTGTGAGTGTGCGTGCGTGTGCGTGTGTGTGAATGCTTGTGTGAGTGAGTGAGTGTAAGTGTGTGTGCGTGTGTGTGAGTGCTTGTGTGAGTGTGCGTGTGTGTGTGAGTGCGTGCGTGTGAGTGCTTGTGTGAGTGAGTGTGTGTGTGTGTGTGTGTGTCTTGAGGACGGTCATTTGGACAGCCCCCTTCCTAGCCAGTCTCTGCCTCCTTACTATGTGTAGGTGTGGTGTGACCGAGTGTCCCACTCTCTGCTTTCCGCAGTGATGGGCTGGCTACCCTGGAAGGGCAAATCAACACAAGTCTTTTCACCCCTAGCCACTTCCTGTCAGGGGTTTGACCAGAGCAACACAAATGTAACGTATACGTATGCCGCCATTTATAAACGTTAAGTACATGCATTCCAGAAATTTAATATACAGGAGCAATAGCCTCAAGACAATGATTTTTATTCCTTTTGCTTATCATATTTGACAGTATAAATATAGTCATTTAAAAAAAAATTCCACAATATTTAAATAAGAATTGAGCTCTCGAATGTTTACAAAGCACAGCCTAAGTACTTTCACTTACAATCTTTAAACATCTCAACATTTCTAACATGGTCAGACATTTAAAAATATTCTTGAACTATTTTAATTTTAGACTATAGAACACTAGCAATTTACTAAGTTCTTTGTTATAAAAATTAATATAGCAATTCTCAAAATACTGGAAGAAGATCATTTTGCCAAAGCCCTCTCTCGAGGGAGACATCTTCGAAAGACACACTTTAATGACTAGCATCTACCAACAGCTGGGGTATAATTTGATGTTCCACTCAAGTTTCCACCGCCTCAGACCTGAGCTAACGGAAGGTCAGAAGAGGTAGGACACAGGTTTCCGACTGACCACTCGGGCGGTGGTGTGCTCACTCATTACATCGCCCGGACCAAGGTGAAGATGGGGCAGGGAGGCTCTGAGTCTGGCCCACCCCGATTTAACCACCTGGACACACCTTTCATACAAGAATGGCTCATTTAAAAACCCTAAGACAGCAAGCTGACAAACGAAGGTTTTGGGCCCGCATCAAGACAGTGATGCTTCCTCCTCTGCAGTCGCCTTTTCCTAGTGGGCTCATTTCCATTTCCATGTCTTGGTGACTAACAGTGCTACAGACTCCAAAGAGCACACAGATGCTCAAGACGCAACAGAGCACAGGAGTTTGAGACCAGTGTGGATGGTCTGAGTTACGTTCCCTTCCCAGTCAGATCGGGCCTACTGTTTCCGAGGCTCTCTGCCGCTGGACCACACCTGAAGCTCAGGGTACACCTGGGGTGTCGTTTACCTTGCAGTGATGTTCAACACTAGCTGAAGTACTGAGCTGGTTATAATTAGTATTTTGAAGGTACTGATTTTCAATTATTTTATCCCATATGAGAAACAAAAGGGGATTTTTAAGGCTATGTTGTAATTTTAAAATATTGGAGATCTATCCTTAATTTCACATTATTTTATTTAAGTCTCAGTTATTTCCTTTTTTAAAAAAAGGAGATGTCATTTCTCTTTGACTAAACTAGAACAGTACACCAACAAATACACCAAAGTAGAAAAATAATATGGTCATATGACTGTCACTTAAGCAGAATTTAACTTTCAGGTCCCCGGTAATGACCGCCTTTGGGCACTTATTCCAGTTTTAAAGTAGCAGCTTTTTAAAAGGAAGCTTTATTCTTACTGTTTTTTTTCTACTGGCTACTCTGTTAAGAGTCCACACTAGTAGTTTCTGGCTTGGCCACCCTCAAAGGTCTTTTGGAATGAACGCAAGAAGGTTCTTCTCGTATTTAAAAAAATACATAAAATGTTACAGTATTCAAAGTCAACTTTATCTCTTCCATTTGGAATTTGATAAAATAGCTATAGTCATGCTAGCATGTGTAAACCACGAGATACAATTTTTCTATAAAAATACAATATAGGCGATATATCGCTTCTTCCCTGAAATTTATAACATTTGGACAAAAAATAGTAAACTTTTGATTGCATTCAAAATATAGTATTATTTTGTATCTATTTAAAGACTTGAGTTATTTGAGGTTTTGGCAACTGGTGCTCTCAGGAGGAGACTGACATCAGGGTAATATTTTATCAGCACAGTAACACCACACAGCTGTCCCCCCTACATCTGCTACCAGGAGGAAAAGAACGGCTTCCTGCAGTGGACCGTCTGGGTGAAGGAGCTGCCCAGGTGTACAACCCGGCCCTGGCCGCCGCTTCTGCTGCACTCCACGATCACACAGGGCATCTGCACCAGCTGCACGGGGCTCTTCCCGTCCCTCAGGGCCTGGGTGAGATTTAAGATCTGTGGGAAGGGGAGAGGCTCTCGTCAATCTGGAGTAAGTGCTGTAAGTATGCACCACATGTATGCACATTTAAATATACGTGGGTGCACGAGATTAGAATCTAAATCGCTTTTGCCAGCCCGTAAACTACTGCGGAACATGCCAACGTCCAGCGGCGGTGAAATCAGATATTAAAGGAATCAAGAGGTTTTATGCATTCTACTGATAGAGAAATTAAATGCTCTTTTAAATGTTTGCCTTACAACTCCAGTACTCAACAAGCTACTGCCTTTCTACCATTTCTAAGGCTTTTTTCCTGTGAGAGGCATGACTACTAAAATAAACACGCATGATTTCTGCCTTCATTTAGCAGGGGACAGGGGACAGTAAACACTAACAGGTAATCTGCGAATTAGAGGGAGAAAACAGGAAGCAGGCCCAAAGGAGATGAGAGAATTCAAGAAGTCATCACTTAAAACAGAAATTTTAAAAGCCCTTCAAATAGGAAAAACAAAAATCAGGAAAAGTTACATACTTACATACATGTGCGCATACACACTACGCATGCATGCACGCGCACACCACACACACACACACACTACACACACTATACACAGAGTTTTTTGTTTTTTTTTAAAAAATAAATTCATACACATGGTCTGTGCTCATTCAAAAATGTCTTAGATGCTGTATTTTGGGGCATGTAAGTAAGTCTGTGAACTTCAATCCACAGCTAATAGCTAATTCTAGCCTTTGTTCATGTGTTTGGGGAGGGGACTCTGTGTCAGTGTCTCTTTCTGTAGCTCTGGCTGGCCTGCAACCTGTCATGCAGATCAGGCTGGCTTCTAAACTGGAAAGATCTTCCTCCTGCCTCTGCCTTCTGAGTGCTAGAACTAAAGGTGTTTGTCACTATGGCAGCTACAGTTCTTTAAAAATTCTTTTTCATTCTTTATGTAGCTCTGGCTATGCTGGAATTCAGCTATGTAGACCAGGTTGGTCTCCAACTCAGAGATCTGCCTGCCTCTGCCTCCCATGTGTTAGGATTAAAGGTTTGTGCCGCCATGTCTGGCATTACAGATACAATTGCAGTAGTTCATGGAGGCAGAGGTAAGGCTGGTCTAAATAATGAGTTACAAGACAGTCAGGGCTACATAAAAAGATGGTCTCAAAACAAAAAAAAAACAAAACAAAAACGACCCCACAAATTCACCCTGTTGACCAGGCTGGTCTTGAACTGCTTGAACTGCCTGCCTCTCAAATGCTGGGATAAAAGGTATGCACCACCAAACTAGGCTAGGATAATTCCTTTTTAGGACATTAAAAAAAAAAAAAAAGCTAAAATCAGAGAGGTACACATGGTCAAGGTACATTATGCTTTTTGGCTACCAAAAAAGCTCAAACTCAAATTAAAACTAGAAAACTGAGCCTCGGAGATGGCTCACTGGTATAGCACTTGCCACCAAAGCATGAGGGCCAGAAAGAGTCTGGATTCCCAGAATCCACATACAAGCAGGGCAGGGGGCCGCCCACATGCACATGCAGGAAAAACAGAGACAGGAGATCTCCAGAGCAAACCGGAAGGAGGAAAGCAACCGAGGCAGACATCTGCTGTCTATCTCAACATGTGGAATATTCCTTTGCTTTACATGAAGACTTGTCATTGTGATTGGTTTAATAAAAGGTTAAATAGCCAATATCTAGGCAGGGTTTGGGGGAGAGAGAAGGCTGGGAAGAGTCACAAGCCAGGCACAGGGCAAGTAGGAAAGTAGTAGCAGGGGCAGCACAGAGCAGAGGTGATAAATCCACAAGGCAAAAAGTAAATCGACGGGAGATGTCACTCTGTAAATATGTTTCTCGTATTGGTTAATGAATAAAGCACTGTTGGCCAATAGGAAAACAAGATAGGAGGGACTAGGAGACAAGGATGATTCTGGGAGATGTAGTGGAAGAGTATCAAGATTTAGAGACTTGAGAGGAAGAGGTCAGAGGTAGAAACACTTAGATGAATAGAAAAGACAGAGCTAGCCAATAAGAAACAGTAGTAACTGGCCAACAGCTTTATATCTAATACAGCGTCTCTGTGTGTTATTTGGGGCTGATGGGGCTGTGGGACCAGGCTGGTAGAAAAATTGCTCGTAACAAAATGGCACCTGCAACTTGGGGACTAAGAATTTCCACTTAAAACTTGACAAAAGCTTAAAAAAGGATTTTAAAAACAAAATAACAAAATAACAGAGACAAGTCTTCTTGGAAGCAGCATTTTTCTTGAGTGGGCTGTTTTGCTAGAGACAAGCAGAGATTTGTAGAGCTCCTTTAAGGGATATTTCCTGACTCAGCATAAGCAGCAAACCCTGCTAACAACTTAATGGTGTGTATCAGAGCTGGCAATGGCAGTGACCACATCTCCAAATCAGAAGCATAGACCAAGGCAGTGAGCACAGCTCTCAGTGCTGGTGGTAAACATACCCCCACCATCTTGAATATACGGTGGCTTACAGCTGTGCCTTACATTTTAGCAATGTTGTTTAACAGATAAAAAGACTCTGTGGACAGAAAAGGATAAAGATTTACAGTAAAAACAGATTCGGATAAAGAAAAACCTCTAAAGGATTACAGTGTGTTTTAAAATATATGTAGGCTTGGGAGAGAAAAAGACAAAGGATAAAGTGGTTTAAAATAAAATAGAAAGAGAGTAGCTGGGTGTGGAGGCACACACCTTTAATTCCAGCACTCAGGAGGCAGAGGCAAGCAGATCTCTGTGAGTTCAAAGCAAACCTGGTATACAGAGTTAATTCCAGGACAGGCAAAAGTTAGACAGAGAAACCCTGTCTCAAAAAATAAAGAAAACAGATGTAAAAGAATAAGTAACAAAAAAGTCACCTAAAAATGGAAAATACACAGAGAGTCTGGATATTATATGCTATTGTGTTGTCTTTAAATTGCTCAATCGTGAAGGAGACAATTTCTACAATACATTTGATTATCAATGCTGATGGATCAATCCAATTTATATATTTAAAAAATGCTTTGACTTCAAAATTTAAGTCTAAGAACAGGTTACTGGGGAAAAGAATTTCTATTTTTGTTTCCACAGTAAATGAAAAGCTGTGGATTCCTTCCAGACTAATGTGGTTTGATCAAGCCAGACCCCCTGAAACAGAGTCGCTGGTGATCCAACATTCAAAACAGATGCGACAAGGCAGCCTTGCAGACTACAGCCAGGATTTCTTCATCTTCTTAGGATTCCCCCATGACAGCGCCCCCTATAAGCAGGAAGTAGTTTGGAAAGAACAACACCCAAATTCCCAAATATTGTTTATAAATGCTTGTTTTCATTTAAATGGGATTGGTTATAAATGGTTAAAGATCACAACCAATCTCTTTTTAAAGATTAAAAAGGGAATTAAGGTATAGAAATGAATACTTGGTCTTTGAATGGATTTTCTTTTATTGATACAATTTAAGGTCAATCTTGTGATATCTATATTTCTCCTCTTGTTTAAGTATTGTGTTTATGTAGCTCGTTTTAAAATTTAATGTATAATTAAGTACTGATTGTAGATAGTTACCTATAATAGTCAAAACTTATAGTTAGTTAGATTTTCTAGCTATACAGAGATATATTTCAAATGGATAGGCATTCTTCAAACCTTTCAAAGACCTACAGAATATGGCATTTAAAATGGTTTAGGGTTTTTTCTTGGCAATGAGACATAACTGCTCCTGGCAACACCACCTGTATCAGAAAGGAAGATGGACATCGAAGAACCTGGTCATGGAGTTTATTTTCAAAATGACAAGACTAGCCATTTGGGCAAGATACTGCTCTTGTATGGACTGTTTGACTTTATGCTGTATAAACTGGACATTCAGGACCCACAGGAAAGTGACTGCTGATACATGATGGACAGAGCTGCAGGGTTCCTGCTTCATGGAAGAGTCTGCCAGACAGTCTGCAGGACACAGAAAAAAGTGACTGACAAACTGCCAATACAAGGAGACAGTTTAAAGTTTCCTGCTTTGCTGAAGAGTCTGACGGACACACTATGGCCTATGGGCTGAAGATGGAAGATTACAGAAGAACTTCAGGTGACTGACCAGGTAGCAAGATGTCTCTGTCATTTCTAGAGTTTATATATTATCCTTCTGTGGTCTTTGAAGGAGTTGAAGACAGATAGTTAGGGTTATAGTTTTCCTTAGTTAGGATTAAAGATAAGTTACACAGACTTTAGACTCACAAAGATAGGATAGATGATGGAATATTTTCTTTAAATATTGCCAAATGTTAATAGACTAAATATTGTTAACTGTTCTTATTTGATAACTGTTATATGATATATTTTGCTATGCTATGGTTAAAACCCTTCTTTTATTTTTAAACAGAAAAGAGATGATGGGAGATGTCATTCTGTAAATATGTTTCTCGTATTGGTTAATGAATAAAGCACTGTTGGCCAATAGGAAAGCAAGATAGGTGGGACTAGGAGACAAGGAGGATTCGGGGAGATGTAGTGGAGGAGTCAATATGGAGAGACTGGAGAGGAAGAGGTCAGAGGTGGAAACACTTATATGAATAGAAATGGGTTAATATGTAAGACAGAGTTAGCCAACAAGAAATGCTAGTAACAGGCCAACAGCTTTATATCTAATACAGCGTCTCTGTGTGTTATTTGGGTTTGATGGGTCTTTGGAACCAGGCTGGTGGAAAAATTGCTCATAACAGTAAATTAATAGAAACAGGTTAATTTAAGCTATATGAACTAGTCAGAATCAAGTCTAAGCTATCCACTGAACTTTCATAATTAATAAGGAGCCTCTGTGTGGTTATTTGGGAACTAGCTGGTAGGACAGAAAAATTCAACCTACACACGCACACATAAACCATACACATATTCAAATTAAAGTTAGCACCTCAAATCAAATTTCACCTTCAAGACACTATCATTTTATTCCTTTCTCTGTTCAGATCTTGACCCTGTCATGCACTTTTTTCTTTCTCTTGTGGAGAGAGAGGATATTTCTGCCTCCACTTCCAGAGCACTGGGATTATGAATGTGCAGTAATTACCATGCCCACCTCTACTCCATCTATTTTTGTAATGAATACATAACTTGTTTGTGAGTACATGAGTACATGAACACTAGACAGCAGGTACCCACTGGCATGTCTTATCTAACTTCAGAGTTCAATGTCATCACCTTCTCAGGCAGGTAGTTTTGTTTTGTTTTATTTTAAATTAGTCATGTGTGAATTTCACTCTATAAATGAAACACAATTGTTTGTAATGTTTTAAATTTAAAATGCTATTCCCAAGATAAACACAGGGAAGTTCCCTCTTGTCTCCTATCAGTTTCAGTTACCTATCACAGTCAACATCAATTTGAAATTACTGAAAGGGAAAATTTTTTAAAAAGCAATTTGTAAGTTTTAGTATATTATTATAATTATCTCAATTTAAAAAAAAATAGTCATTGATAATCAAGTTTCATCATAAGTTACTTGTCTACAATGCTTGCTTGGTTTCAGGTGCTGCTTGAGACCTTGGAACAGATTGCCTGGGAATATGCACCCTTCAGGACAAAAGTCTAGGAGATGAACCATAGCATATGTCAAGTTAGTTTGTTTCAAACACAAAGTCAAATTGTGCCTTAATTCCTTCCACCCAAAAATGTACTTAAATCCATTGGGGGATGGTAACACTCAATATGTAAGTATAAGCATGGGTTCCTACTCCCGTCTACTTACAGGACAGCTTCCTAACTGGGCGTCCTGGCCACACACACACACACACACACACACACACACACACACACACACACACACACAAAGATAGAAACATATGACACACATGCATGATGTGCACTGTACACGAAACCTCTTTAATGCTCAACTCATAATGTCTGTATTTCCTTCCAGGTGGAATTCATACTCTAGCTCTTAAGGGGCTCAGCACTTTAGCTCTATTTTACTAATTAGATCTGACTTCATAATATTTACCAATGTACCACTGAGTATAATTCAATAGTCAGTGCAAAAACTAGACTCATCTTTGACTGTATTAAATGTATGCGCTGAGAATGGGGACATTAGTTTGGAGTCACTAACGGCAGTTTTCATCTCAAATCTTCCTTCTGGAACAGAGCCGCGTCGGGCGGTATTGCTTGTGAGTGAGCATGACCTTCAGGCCCACACCCACAGACCTAGAGCCTTTCTCTCAGGGCCAGGTGCTGGGGAGGAGAGTAAGAGGACTGAGCTCAGCACATAACCTTGCTGATATAACTGCTCTAGAAAAGCTAAGTGTGTCCCAGATGGAAAATTACCTCCTGGCAGAAGAATCTGGTATGGAAATGTTTGTGCAAGTGTTGTGAGGAAGAGAGGTAGGACACTCAGAAAATAGTCATCAAAATGGGACGAACGGGGCTGAGGGCGTGATTCAGTGGGAGAATGTTTGCCTACATGCATTGTGCAACCCTGATTCCACTTGGAGTACTTAAAGGGCCAGGAGGCACGAATTTATGCTCAGCAAACAGCTGGGTAAACAAACAGCACACAAGGGGAAAACAGCTAATTTATAGGGAAACACAAGATATACGACTTGAACCGACATCAAGAACCATGTGAGCTGTCTAGGTTCAGCATTACAGGTAGCATCAGGAGGGACACTTTGGTGTCACAGTGAGGGAAGCAGACATTCTTCTTAACAAACAGTGTCAAACAGTGACCTACCTGGCCTCTCATCACAGACATCTGACTTTCAAAAGCAGCTTTGTCAAATCCTTTGTCAGTCTGTTACAGAAATGGGGGAGGAGGTTAGTTAATACAGTTCCAAACACCAACAGCTTTGAAACAAACACTAAATTCTAAAACAAACCCTTCTGTGTAGCAAACAAGGCCATAAGAAAGCTTTTCAATGGGTAACAAATGAGAAAAGATGAGTTGCTTTGTTTGCTTTGAGACAGGGTTTCTGTGTGTGTGTAGCCCTGGCTGTCCTGGAACTCACTGTGTAGCCCAGGCTGGCCTCGAACTCACAGAGATCTGCCTGCCTCTGCCTTCGAACTCACAGAGATCTGCCTGCCTCTGCCTCCCAAATGCTGGGATTAAAGGCGTTTGCTACCTCTGAAAGGTGAGAAAAGTGTTTTACTCTGATGTACTGTTGGAAAGCCTCAGGACAACTAGAGAAGTTTTATTTGCTTATACCCCAATTTCTTCCAGAAAGGATTTAATGTGAGTCAGTGGGTTTAGGCTTTATAAGAATTAAATCCTATCAAGTCACAAAACATACATTACAATTTAAAGAGTAATTTTGTAAAAATCCAACTTGAAAAGAAAGTCTTGCCTTAATAGTAAACATAACTTTACAGATGTATGTATCATAAAATATTGCTAATTCCTCCTGGTGTGTCAAGTGTGCTGTAAGTAACACAAGAAATGAGGGTGTATTTTAAACACTGTATTTTCTTTGACAATCACAATGAAATGTTATAAAAATTAGCATATGGACAAACGTTTGCTTACTTTTTTCCTCTAAGAACTATGCATACACCCGTACTTCTGCAGTCAACAGTAAGTTATTGGCATGAAATGCAAATAATGCTAGGGCTGGAGATATGACTCACTTGTGAAAGAGTATTAGGTGTGCTTGCAGTTTGATTTCTAACACCAACAGTCCAATCCACCCCAGGGGATCCAACACCCTCTTCTGGCCTCCTCCAGACTCTGTAGGTACCCCCCCACCCCCCACACACACGGTGTGCACAGACTTGCATGCAGACAAAACCACCATACACAGAAAAGATAAATATTTTTTAAATGCTGGCATAAGACAGAACTATGTTTATATTCCAAATCTGGGCAATGAATTTGACTTTCCTCAACATTAATTTCACCAACAGTTAAATGATAAAAATCGTGGTGTAGGGATAAGTTTAAAGTTAAATCTAAATAAGAAAGTACAGTGTTTATTATGGACAAAAGGCTCATGTGTCCCCAATATGATGAAATCCCATCTCTGCTGTTAAAGCATTTGGACCTGAGGTCTCTGAATGGTTATCAAGTCATGAAGGTGGGCCTCAGTCCCAGAGCTAGCTTGCTTTCTTACAACACTTGAGAGTGTAATGAATGCAAGCTGGAAGAAAGCCACCCAGAAGCTAGCCATGACCCCGCCCTGATCTCAGCCCCTAGAACTGCATGAGTGGCCCAGTCTGTGCCCCTTCTTAAAGCAGCCTGACCTACCGCCCCAACATTGATTCCAAGCAATATGGGGGCTGAGGATGTAGCTCAGTGGTCAGATTCTAGCATAGCATGCAGAAGGCCCTCAGTTCTATCCTTAACTACAGAAATAAGAATGAAAGTAAAATTAACATGGAAAACAGTAGCTGCATGCCCAGGAAGTCAAAACACACTCCAAATTAACCCTTTTACCTTAAAGAGTTCATAAAGATCTTCACACAAATCCTGCACAAAGTTCATGTCGGAAATATAGGGGAGAATCAAGTTTCGGATTTCTTCAGAAAAAGGAACTTTAGCTTGAGGAAGCCAAGCCCAGTGAAACGGATCTAGTGGAAAATAGATGTTAATGATGCAGATGTTAATGTGTTCAGATTCACATTTATCCTAGTCTTCCTTACAGTCCCCAGCTTCTCCTAAATAAAGGAAAAGACATTCTCAGAATACAATATGGCCAATCAGGTAGGCAGAGCACAGAGAAGGGCTTATCTGAAGTTGTTCTGTTTCTGAGCTTCACACAGTCAAGAGGTGGGAGTTGATAGTGAGTCTAATTCAAACACTCCCCATCTTAAAAACCTATGTCAGAACACATTACTTTCAGGGTTAAAAAAAAAAATGGTGGAAACTTGTAATTGTTCACACACCCAGGTCAAGTCTTATGGATCACAGCTCCTGTCTTCCTGTCTTCCACAGCTACAAATGAGCAGGAACTGAGGAACGTGTACACAGGGAAAGCTCTAAAACTTTAAATAATTAGGAAGTAAATGAATGGCTTCAAAGGATAAAAAAAAAAAAATCACTCATGAGTCTAGGAATGGGAGGTAGCTTAGCAATAGATTAAGAAGATTAGTAGACCAGTAGAATCTTCTAGAAAGGGAGGAGACATAGGTACATTCCAGAATCACCAACTGGATAACTCTACTTGTCTGAGGAATGTGAAATGCCCATCACAAAGTCGTGTTTGTGATGCTTGGGAAGTCATGGAACCTTCTGGACATAGGGCTTATGAAGTGGCTGCAGGGCTACGGGAGTTGGGCTAGGCAATTATAGTTTGTGGCTTTTTGATGGATTAAAATGTGAAGCACCTACCTCATGCTTCCGCTCCCCTCCCCCACAACAATTTTGAGCTATATGGCCTTTACCTAGGCTGGAACAATGTTACACAGAGCAGGCTAGCCTTGAACTCAGAGATCTGCTTGCTTCTGCCTCTGGAGTGTTGCGATTACAGAGGAGCACCACCACACAGATCTGCCTCTGTTTCTAATGTTTCCTCCACCATCCATTCCCTATCACGGATGTGCTGAATCCCCTTGACCACGAGCCAGCACACATCCCTGCTCCCTGAGACTGCTTCGCTAGTCATCTGGCCAGGGCACTGAGGAGAACCCACCGCCCTTAGACTCATCCCTGATTTCTATCCGCCTCGCAACACAGCGTGAGACTCAAACTGCTGTCGGGGCTGGGAGTCTGCAATCAGGGTGGCGGCATGGAGTGTCTTCCCTCCATTCTCCTAACAATTTCATTTAAAAAGCTCTTCTTCTTCGTCTATTTCTGCCTCTAATCCCTGCCCTCGACTTTCACTATCGCCATCCACCGTGACCACTCCATGCCCCCACGCCTGCCTGATGGCCTCTCACAGCCCAGATGACTTAACCAGCAAGGCATGTCCCTCATCTCTTTTCTGGAACTCTCCCACTGCGGCTCTGTGGGTACCACTCTTCCAAAGTTTTCTGTCTGTCTTGGAAGGAAGGCACTCCCCACCTCTGCTGGCTTTCTCTCCCGCTTTTAATGTTACTGTTCCCCAAGACTCGATTAGTCCCGTCTTTCCTTCATTCATTAGGCACTCATCAAACTTTTATTGAGTATTTATATTCCTGGCATTGTGTTAGGTGATTGTATTTGTCCTCCATGATTTCCCTGGATGACTGTAAATAAAGCCATAGCTGTCGCTATAAAGACTACAGCTAAAATGTCCCCACACCCTTAATACCAATTCTTCTGTAAGCTCCAAACCGCTGATCCCCAACTGCATATTTGGCACAACTTTCCAGATGTTTTATAGGAAGTTTACAAACTTAACACTTAAAAAAAAGCAATTTGCATATAGGTTTCAAATGGTTAGTGGGAAAAATAAAATGCAACCAAGGCATTTCAAATCAGTTCCACAAAACATGGGAAAAGAAAGAAGAAACAAATTAGAATTTACCAACACTTTAAACTACCCACGGAAAGACTCAGACTGGGTTCAAAGAGATCATCTGTTGCTTTATGTCTTACACCTAAAACAAAATGGTGGAAGTTAAAAAAAAAAAAAAAAAAGTATAGAATAAATACCAAGTAAATGCTAATAAAATGAAAGGCAGTATAGCAACACCACAACAGGAAAAAAAAAAAAAACAGAACAGAACAATAAAGCATATTGCATTTCACACAAATGAACCCAGGAATATTAAACACTGGGCCTTTTGCATATAAAACACAAAGCCAAGAGATGGGAGAAGAAACCTGAAAGCCAACAGCCCAGTAGCCAGACAGGAAGTACAGTCAAGCCTCAGAGAGCATGCTGGGATGAGAGGGGTGGAGTCAAAGCAGCCGCCAGCCAGCCAGCCGCTGAGCGCAGGATGTGTAAAAAGTAAGGTAACACGCCATGAGACATGTGACGAAGCGTACATAGAAATATTGGTTAATTTAAGCGTAAGAGTTAGCTAATAACACACCAGAGCTACTAGCCAAATTCAACCGCTGAGTTGCTTATTTGGGACTTGGTGGTCGGGACAGGAAATGACTGTTTACATAGGGCTAATACTAACAAATTTTAATGAGCAGCACTAATACTTTGAAAGTGCCAAGAATGAACACTTTTTTTTTAAAAAAATCCACTGATTTAGGACTTTTTATTTTGTTTTCAAGACATAGTTTTTCTGTGTAGCCCTGGCTGTTCTGGAACTCGCTCTGTAGACTGGGCTGGCCGCAAACTCAGAGTTCTGCCTGCATCGGCCTCCTGAATGATGAGACTAAAGGTGTGCGCTACCACCACCTTCCAGCAAGAAATATTTCATATAGAAATCTTTAGATTAAAATAGTTCTAAATGTCTACAGAGTGAGTTCCAGGACAGCCAAGGCTACACAGAGAAAGTTTATCTCAGGGGAAAGAGAGAAGAAGAAATTCAAGACACGAACAATTTTAAAAACAACAGAAATGTCCCAAACCAGCTCCAAATGTATCAAAAGCAATCACGTGTGGCAGAAAAGGCAGGAAGGGTAACGGAAACACCATGGAAGCGACCTGGGAAGGCTGAATCTTGCTAAGGGGGTGGAGCCCAAAGCATCAACACACAGCTCTGCCAAGACATATGCATCATTCCTATGTTAATACCTTAGAAATCAGAAGTTACCAAACCCATTTCCAAGACTAAAAGCAAACAAGGTCATCCAAAAGTATACAAACAACACGTAGCAAGACCCAAGGCACCTTCAAAGCCCCGGGGGCTAGAAGGGTGTCCCTATCACATTTCCCATCTCTGTCAACTCTGTACCTTTCCAGTGGGAGAACGCGAACTACTTACAAGCTCTCCATTCATCCGGGTGCTTAAAAGGAAACGCTAGGCCATTATCAATTGCAGCTATTTTAATGAGCAATTCTTTATCATCAATCCAGTTTGATTCCTAAAGGGGAGGAAAAGGACCTATTCATAATAGATTCTACAAAAATATTTCCAAAGGATTAGTTACTCACAATTATTATTGAGGCTTAATTGAAAAGCTATAAAATTGCATTTCCAGAAAGAAAAAAAAAATCATACAAGGCAGTGACAACCTTTATAAACAGTAAACATTTCATAATTGGTATTTTTAAAAACTGGAATTATATATTTACTATGTAAGTGATTTAATTTTTTTTCCACCCTGGAGAAGACAGTTTGAAAATACTAACTTTAGAGAAAGAGTCTAGACAACCAATTGCTTAATGTTTGATATCTGCCTACTGCCACTTTCTTAGAAACACAGTTTGATTTTATGTGTATGGGTATTTGCCTGCTTGCATGCCTGGTGCACTCAGAGACCAGAAGAGGGCAGCAGATCTCCTGGAACTGGAGTTAGAGGGATGAGGTACCCTGTGGGTGCCGGGATTGAACCCACGTTCTCTGGAAAAGCAGCTGGCCATCTTAACCACTGAGCCATCTCCAGCCTCTTTTGCTTAGCATACCTTTGAGATCTACCCATGTTACTTTATGACTAAACTTTATTTTTTTGATATTGCTAAGTACTGTGCAAACATAATTTTCGAATTACCTAGATAAGTGCTTAAAAGTACAGACATTTCAAAGTGAGTGATGCAACAGTTTAAATGGAAACTTGAGGAAATGAGATTAAATACTGAAGTTACCTTACACATTCTACAATGTATACTTTTTAAAATTAAAAACACTATCCTAAAAACGTATCTTGTGGGGTTTGAGTGAGAAAGGTCCCCTGTGGGCTCTGTTTGGATACTTGGGTGCCCCGTTGATGGAACTATCTGGGAAGGGTTAGGAGGTGGAGCCTTGGAGGAGGTGTGTCTCTGGGCTTTGAGATTTCAAAAGTCCATGGCGTCCTCAGGCAGTTCCCTCTGCCTTGTGCTTGTGGACCAAGACGTGGGCTCCCAGCTACTGTTCCAGCACCACGCCTGCGTGCGGCCATGCTCCCCACAACAGTCTTGGATGCTAATCCCCGGGAAGCCTCTGGTAAATGTTCTTTTTATAAGTTGCTTTGGTCGTGGTGTCTCTTCACAGCAATAGAAAAGGAAATGAGTCAGGGAGCCAAGGCTAAGAGCAATGAGTCTGAAATACGTAATGCTCATAGTGTGGAGCATCTACATAGTCTGTAGTGGAAGTGTAAACCAGTTTGTTTTAAGTAGAAGAACTTTTTAAAAAGTTCAGAGGGTATGATTCACAAGTAAAACACACAGCCATTTTATTATTCAGTGCTGTATAACCTATCATTGAATGAAAACACTCAGAAGAAATAGAACTGGTAAAGACGAACATGTCCCTAGATAGGAGAAGCCTTAACTGCATAGAGGGAAGGTAAAAATGGTATTCCTACAAATGCTAAAAGCTTTACAAAAGCTGAGTCGATGACATACTTGGTCTCCAATACAAATCACAAAGAGTCAGGAAGGAAAGGAAAGTATAATCCAGAAGTATAACCCAGAGCTAGGGACATGGCTCTGTTGGCAAAATGCTTGCAGCGCGAGCCTGAGGTTCATCCCCGGGACCCATGTGAACAGTCAGGTATGACAGTCACACTGATAACATTAGTGCTTAGGGGGCAGAGAACTCAGCAGCCAGCCAGCCTGGCTTACTCGGCAAGCTCCAAAGAAACATGCCTCAGACGAGGTGAAGAAGCAAGTCCAGGAAATCTGTCGAAGAAGCTAACACATGCTTTCACCCACCACATTTTCCTCACCTCATTTTCAGTTTTCTTTGAATATTTTGTCTTTTCATATTTGATTAGCCAATTATCATTTCCCCTGTCTTTCAAAAGAAACAAAAGTCTGTTAGTTGATATTTACAGATATTGTGGCTTCGTACTAAGGGGAGACAGCTAAGCCCCCAGTTTGGGGATTTTTGTTGGTGTCCTGTAGCACAGATTCACCACTGTGCCAGCTAGGGTGTACCAGCTAGTCTTATGTCAACTTGACACACAAGCTACAGTCATCTGAACGGAAGGACTCTCAATTGAGAAAATGCCTCCACAAGATCTGACTGTAGGGCTGGGTAGCCATGATGGTGCACGCCTTCAGTTCCAGCACCTGGGAGGCAGAGGCAGAGGCAGAGGCAGAGAGAGACGCAGGCAGATCTCCCTGAGTTCGAGGCCAGCCTGGTCTACAGAGTGAGTTCCATAACAGCCAGAGCTGTTACACCGAGAAAACTCGTCTCAAAAAACCAAAAAAGGTCTGACTGTAGGACACTTTCTTAATTAGTGCTTGATGGGAAGGGCCCAGTCGATTGTGGGTGGGGCCAACCCTGGGCTGGTGGTCCTGGGTGGTCCTGGGTTCCATAGTAAAGCTGACTGAGCAAGCCAGTCTGGTCTCTCCTAGCTCCAGGGTCCTGTCCTGTTTGAGTCCCTGCCGTAGCTTCCTTCAGTGATGAATAGTACATGGGTATATAAGCCAAAAGAAACCCCTTTCCTCCCAAGCTTGCTTTTTGGTCAGAGTTTCATCGCAGCAATAAAAACCCTAACTGAGAAGCTCTGATTTACAACTTTAAAAACCTGCTCAACATAAGCTGACACTGACTAAACTTTTCTCTGTGCCAGATCATGGTTCTAAGTGCTTCACCTATATGAACTGATCTGAACCCAGAACCACCCTGTAAGGTAAGGGCCACGGCTAGATCAAGGTGAACTCAAACCAAGATAACGTCTTGTTTGCTTGAAGACGGAAGCACGCTCACCCTGGCTGCTATGCACAACCAAAGTTGCCTCACCCAGTGTCAACATCTGAGTACTCTGGACCAGTTTTAATATTAACCTAAGACCATTTAATTAAGAGAGTCAACTTGAGAAAATTATATGATGCTTTCCAGAAACTAATATAAGTAGTAAGAAACAAACTTGGAAGCAGTAGTTCCCAAGCTGCAGAATGCATTCGGATGGGGGGGGGGGGGTAAGCACAGGCCTAGCCCCAACCTGTAATGTCTGTAGAGAGTGTTATCTGAGAAGACAGGTGTTAGACAAGTTCTCATGGAACGCTGACCTGAGGGTCTTTTAGGGAACCTCAGCTTTGTCCCATCTGTGCCGCTCTTCCCTCCAAGTACAGCACACGAAGAAAGCTTAACGTTTCACAGACGACATAATGCAATATTAAAAATAAGAACCTTTCCATATACACGGGCAGCATTTCTAGTCTCTGGCTTTGTGCTGCTCTTTGGCAATTCCACCTGAGGCGACAGGAAGAATTCTCTGTGGCCCAGTATGAGTCAGGCCCTCGAGCAGGACGACCTGCCCAGGAGGGTCGGGGCTTCCTCTGTTTCCCAACACTGAGGAGGACTCAGCCTTGAGACTCTTAGACCAACATTTATGGCTTTGATTTCAGTAACGAGAATCCGGTTTACAACTAAAGGGACTGAACAAACGAGAGAACGTCGATACCTGTGTTTCTGATGATGTAATCCAAAATCACTAATCTTTCAAACTGTGACTGAAATTGTTTCCTAATGTTTTCAGGCAGAGGCTCAGCTTCAAACCTCCTAAGCCAATACTCGGCCTCCTTGTAATCTTCCACAAACAGCTGAAAGGAACCAATCTATAATTTCAAGAACTACGATTAGAAAGGAAAGCAGCAGGGACACAAAGGCTTTACTTTTCAAATTCCTCCGCGGTGCCACCACGGAGTACATAAGGGAGACAGCATTTAACACCGGTCCAGATTTATTAAGAGCATTTAACTTACTAGCTCAAGTAATCACAAGAGCACACAGCAAACAACTAAAAAAGGCTCAACCCAAGACTTTTAGGGGGCTATTTCAGAAAGTGAAAAAGAGAATAAACATACGCCCTGAAGGTGACACCTTAAAAATGCTACTTCCTAAGAGCGGGCATCAAGGTGACATTAACTGAGAGGCCAAATGGCAACCCGTCTTGGTTATTTCATGGCAGTGCAATTTTCTCGCCGAAGCTGCATTTCGAGTCTTCTCATAACATCAAGTACAAAAAAAAAAATAAATAAAATTTAAAATACAATGGGCTCTTTAGGCAGATCAAAGATCATATCATAAATTTTAAAGATTTAATCAAGTGATTGTAGCCTTTCTAATGGCTTTTTAAAGAGTCTTCCACTTGAAGATATGCCCATTTGAAAATGCATTTTTGTTATTAAAATTACTAGTTAGTCCTGAATAAGTTGATGCCAGAATACAAATTTCATCAGCAGAAGACATACAGGTAATGAGCAACCTATCCTGCCTCACAAATGCAAGCAAACAAATTACCATAAAGAAGTCTGTTCCCTGGCTTAACGTTTCATATGCTTGTTAGAAATTTTAACAATCCTAAAGGTTTCCTTCCTTTGAGCAGCCTCCTTTTGCCACACTTATTTTAGCATATCCAAGAAAATGGTAAAAATGTTCGAAGCTGACTACTTGGAATGTAATTAAGTAGAAAATAATAAGTTAATTGTGAATTTCTACTCAAATTCTTTAGAAACTTGCATAGCAACAATAAAACCGTAAGTCAAATATATTTAAAAATAAGTCCTAGAGATTTTTCTAGATGTCTTTTCCATTAGTCCTCTGTATCCTTGCTTAGCTAGTTGCCAAGCTAGCTTAGGTTTGTACAAAATGATAGCTGTGGCAGAGTGAACACACGCAGAACTACCATTTACTAAGTCTTTACATGTGCCAAGTGGCTCAGAGCTCCGTGAACTTAACACCTCCTCCTAAACAGCTTTATCAAACTGCATTGGAACTGCTTGTTACTCTGAGCTCAAGAGAAAAATGTGTTCTCTCTCTCTCAAAATTATTTCCACAGTCCACAGCAGGATGCCCAATATCTAGCTACATTCTTCCCAGGTGCTTAGGAAATAAATAAGTGCAAAGCTTATTAGAGTAACTTACCTTAGGAGGAAGTCCTATCCGATGGAACTTTCTACCTACTTTTGGCACTATCTCTAAGGCATACTTCTTGCCTCTTGATTTTGCACGGTCAATCGCACTGTAGTTGAATGTCTCACTGACAAGCCAAACCACCTAGAAAAATGGTTAGAGTTTGGATTATGGTATTTCTATTCACATGGACCATCAAATTCACTGTAGCGCTGTAAACCACTGAGGTCTATCTACCCCTATGACAAAGCTCCTCGTGAATCTGAAGCCTTCACAAAGGTCGGAGAATTTTAAATGGCCCATATTTCTTTCAGAAAAAAAGATACAAAAGCAGCCTAAATTTCCAACAAAATAAGAGCTTTGAAATACAGAACTAAGAATGAACATTTTAAAGAAGGCATTAAATAAGATTAGAAAAAGGTCCAAAGGAAGCCAAGGGCAGTAGAAGTGTGGGCACTCCAGTAACCTATCGTCAGGATCAAAGGGGCTTCTAGCTATACCCTGCTTTCTAAATACTAGTCCTTTCCCATCTCTGTCAGCATCCTGCGTCCTCACGGGAACAAGAGACATCCCATTGGCTACTAGAGGGATCTATACCACAGTGCCTGGAGCCAGCTGCTCTGGGCTCCTTAATTATCACAAAAGGAATTCCACCTTAGACTCTATCACTGAGATTTATCCCTGGAGTGTGCACAAATAAGTGAAGTCTAAGTACAGGTACAGCCTGAAAGCAAACCCTCCTTTACCTTTGTTTTAGGTACAACGCCCAGCTGAAGCTTTGCATCCACCAAGTAGGCGCCAGCTTCGGAAAGGTACCCCTGGTTGGGAAGCAGGCAGCCTCGGCCAAAGCAGCAGGGACAGCAAACCTTATGGACATACTTGGTCCACTTTGGGTTGAGCTGGCCGTAAGGCTCCTCTGATTTGGGTTTAAAGACGCCGACAATATTCTAGGGGGGAGAAAAGTAGAAACCCTATTAGACTCTAATGGACGGGTGGGTAACAGTCTACAACATGCATTGCACTAAGTAAGATTTACAAACAACTTGCAAGTGCTAAGGTGACTGATTCTAATCACATTGTAAGAATTACTTTCAACTTAAAAATCAACATTCCCCTGTGTCAGCATTTTTCAAACTTTGCTCTAACAAACCTCAGAAAGTGGGGCGAGGCTCCGTGCCATTTAACCAGATTAACTGTGCCCATTTGGAACTGCAGCACTTCCAAATTAACCCTCGAGTCTGCCCCAGCCCCTCCGCCATCACCCTCTCCCCTCTCTTTATGGCTAGGTTATCCATGCTGATTTCAAACGCACAAGCCTAAGAGTTTCTCCTGCCTCAGACTACACCTAATGTAAGCAATGTTGTGTAATTCTTATGATCTACTAAATATTCAAATATACACTGTCTCCTTTCCCTGGTGTGCCAAATATTCTAAAGAGACAAGGAATCCATTACAGTCTAACTCCAGTACTCAGAACAGGGCTCGGCACATAGTAGGTGCTCACGTAATTTTTTTTTTCTTTTGTGGTTTTTCAAGACAGGGTTTATCTGTGTAGCTTTGGAGCCTATCCTGGTACTTGCTCTGTAGACCAGGCCGGCCTCGAACTCACGGAGATCTACCTGCGTCTGCCTTCTGAGTGCTAGGATTAAAGGTGTGCACCACCAGCTCAAGTAATTCTTAAAACACAAATAACATAAATTGAACAGCTATACTATCAGCAGCTCTCATCTAAATTTTCTCCCATTACACTTTTTATGACCCATCTTAACTCTCTCTCAGCAAGAGAAAAATTGGCCATGGGTGGTGGCACATACCCATAATCCTAGCACTTAGTGGGTTAGCTAAGGTAGGAGGATACTGAGTGGGCTAACCTGAGACATGTAGTAAAACTCTTGTTGTAAGAGGGGAAGAAGAAAAGAAGGAGGAGATGGAGACAGAGACGGAGGAGGAGGAGAGATGTTTATAGGGTCCAAAAGTTCCTACAATTGTTAGTACTGATCTAATAAAACACTCATGGCTCAATCATCTCAGACAAGAAATAAAAATGCGATTTCTTTATAATGCAATAAATTCTAAACAATTAACAAGTAAAACAAGAACAAGTTAAGAACTCAAGCCTTCCACACCTATGGCCCCTAGTGCTTGAGAGGGTTGCTGCTACACACTGAGTTCTAAGGCAGCATGGGCTACACAGGAAGACTGTCTCAAAACCAGAGGTCAACAACAAAAACTTGGGGTAAAGACTGACAGTGCCTACAAATGACAAAAAGTACATTTTATTGTCTAAGAAATGGGGGCTGCGGCTGGGTGCAGCCCACTTGGTAGAATTGCCTAGCATGCCTGCAGCCTTGGGTTCTACACCCAGAACCACATGAAAGCAGGCAATACACACCTGTAAGCCCAGCACTTAGGCAGGAAGAGCAGGTGTTCACCAGCCTGAGATGCACAAGATCCTTTTCTCCCAATTTCCTACGCCCCATAAAAGAAATGTGGGTCTGGCCATGGCGCATACGCCTATACATACGCCTATGCCCAGGGTTTTTGTTTTGTTTTTTAAACAAATAGGATTATGCTTTAAAAATCACTTTTTTTTTTTTTTTTTTTTTTTTTTTTTAAGACGGGGATTCTCTGTGTAGCCCTGGCTGGCTCCAAACCCAGAGATCTGCCTGCCCCTGTCTCCCAAGAGCTGGGATTAAAGACCACGACCACCACCCTTAGAAAGCTTTTAGAAAAGACAGCACCATTCCTGAGAAACTCAAACTGTCGTTTGTCTTTTCCACTCCAGAATCGGAGGTCATTTCTGCTTTGTTACACTCCGATGCCTCTTTTCTTTGGCATGATGCCAGGAAATGATTTCTGAGGCATAAAAAAATATACCTTGAAAAAACATATATACCAAACATTGGGAAATGACACTGGACAGGTTTGAGAGTTTCAACTTCCATTTGTACTCGGTAAATACGGTAGCAGAGCTATAAAGAAGGGACTATGAATATGTGTTTAATAAATACACAAATAAATATGGGTATGCTTGAAACCAAACAGAAAACATCAGAACAGCAAACGACAACTGGAAACTACCAGCTCCATTTCTATGCTATCGAGTTCTTAGTAAAACAAAAGAGAAACTATCAACCTTTATTTTGGAAAAGAAGGACCAAACAGATGTAGTAGGAAAATATTTTCAGGAACTCGGACACTTCCCTTTTAAAGCGGTGTCTTCCAAAAACGTGTGTAATGCATGTGAAGTTCTCACCCTTTTAGAATCCTTCACAAAGTAACTTCCACTGGACCCTTGGGAGATTCTTTCTGGGAAAATTCCAGTTTCTATTGCTTGCTCTGCTCTCAGTATAATATCAGCAAACTCAGGATCTTCCAAGAATGTGTTTATCTCTGAAATAACAGCAATCACTGCATTAGACCAGCTGTGTGTATGCACACACTATGGCCCTGTGGGAGTGGCTTTAGCGGGGCTGAAAAGGAAATCAAACATCTGATAGTCAGCCTTGACCCTCATGGCTGACCTCATCCTCATGTGTGTGCATGCGTGTTGTGTGTGCATGCGTGTTGTGTGTGCATGCGTGTTGTGTGTGTGTTTTCCTGTGGAGGTACACGTGTATGCATTCAGGTATACACACTTGGAGGTCAAAGGTAAACCCTGGGTGTTCCTCAAGACTGGTGCACATGCCCTCCTTCTAAAAATATTTAGTTGTAGCCAGGCAATGGCTTTCTGTGAGTTCGAGGCCAGCCTGGTCTACAGAGCGACTTCCAGGATAGCCAGGGCTGTTACACAGAGAAACACTGTCTTGAAAAACAAAAACAAACAAATAAAAAATATTTAGGCTTTTTTCCTTTAAATGTGTATGGGTATTTTGCCTACACATATGTCTGTACCTGGTACTCTGGGAGACTAGGAGAGGGCATTAGATTCTCTGGGACCAGGGTTACACACAGTTGTGAGCCACTACGTGGGTGCTGGGAACCGAACTCAGGTTTTCTGGAAGGTCAGTCAGTACTCCTAACTGCCAAACCATCTCTCTAGCTCCGTGCCCTTAAGTATTGATTGACTGACTGATTGATGTATTTGTTGTGTGTGTGTGTGTGTGTGTTCTCACGCATGGAAGCCAGAGGACAAGTTTGGCAATCTTTTCTGTTTCCTCCACATGGGTCTTGGGGATTGGACTCTTACATGCTCTGAACCACCTCCCTAACCACAACTTTGTTTGGAAAAATGGACAGTCTTTGATTGGGAACCGGGGCCTGCCAATTAGCCGAGGCTAGCCTGCCGGTCGGCCCCAGGGATCTTCTGACTCTATCTCTCCAGCTCTGGGATTACAAATGCGCTTACACCAAGCTACCCTCGATTCTCTGCAGCCCTCCCCACCCCTGAGCAGATGATGGGAAGCAGTAGCCGAGTTACCCAGGTCTAGACCATGCTCCCCGCCCTTTGTCAACCATTCCCAGCTCCAGCACCGAAATTCCATTACTGCACCCAACGTCTTGGCTGCTAAAAGACAGCTCAAGGTTCACTACTCTCAAAACTCCATCCGTTATCTCTACCAGCTCTCCCAAACACAGCCCCTCTGCCCTGGTTATTCCATGCCAGGTGTTGCCAGTTCTGTATCTTCCAGTTGCGTGGGCCCAAGACTTTGGATTCCTCTACAACCTCACACTATCAATCTCCACATTTGACCTCTGACAAGCAAGCCGTGTACGCATCCAAACACAAACGCTTATAACCTCTACTCCTACAATGAAATCAGCCCTATCAACTCTTTCCTGAATTATATCAAACCAACTCAATCATACCACTCCTTTGTACTTAACAGCCCAAGGGTGTCCCGTGTCCCTCTAAGCAAAAGGCCAAGTCCTTCTGGCCTCCACTTTCCCTGGCCCAACTGCTAATCTCCACTTTATTTGAGCATTATCTCCTGACTTGTCTGTGAGCTCTGAGCGGGCAAGGATCCCTTTCACTGATGGGTCCCCAGAGCTTGCATTCAATAATCACCTGCTGATGAATTCATAATGAATCATTTTAATTTGGAAGGTACTTCAATTCTCTATGTGAATTATTATGAAATTTCAAAACACAATCAACTTTCTTTAATCCAGGCAAATAAAACTGTTATTTACTATTTTTTAAAGTCTTCGATGAGAAAAACGTTATAAAAAGGGCTATTTGGACATATTTTACATACTCAAAAGAATATGCAAAGAATTTTATGCATGTCTATACCAGGGTGCCCATTCTAAAACAATCCTTGTCTGTCCCTTGAAATTCCTGAGGAATGAAGTGAGGACACTAACCTTGGTGGCTTTGGATGGAACTCAGTAGGTAGTGGGCATTTATTTATTTGAATAATACAGGCACCAGTAACCATTATCATTTGTCAAATGACATTTCTTATACTTTAGAGGTTTATATATTTTTACTCCCTGAGCATGAGTGCTTGCCTGCATGTATATATGCACAAAAGATGCATGTCTGCTGCTGAAAGGTGCAGAAGCAAGTGCTGGATCTCCTTGACTAGGAACTGCAGTTTATGTGGTTGTGAGCCGCCTTGGAGTTTATGTGGTTGTGAGCCGCCATGGGGGTGCTGGGAACTGTACCCAGCAGAACTATCTTTCCAGCCCCAGTGGACCAGTTCTTAATGACAGAACTATCCTGCAAAGTTATTTTTTGTTTTCAGTGCTGGGATACCAGCAAGTAATCCTGAGAGGGAGTATAAACTAAACGATCTCAAAGAGATATATCTTTTTCTGATTTTTTTTTTTTTTTGTATGCATGAAAACAAACACAAACCTCTTTTTGCAGAAATGAAGCCTATTGTAGCTTGCTATCTAGACCTGCCATCTGCAGCAGACACTGAGTCTATTTATCCCTTTCTGTAATAGTTCTTCACACAGACAAGAATTCCTTCACATTCCCCTAGCTAATCCCTTCCCTCTCTACCTTCCACACCAAAGTGCTCGTGCTTTCCATAGCCTACTTTCCTGCCTGTTTCATGCCTCGTTTTTCCTTTGAGATTAAAAAAAAAAATGTTGTCTTGTGAGTGGTGGTGACGCACACCTTTAATCCCAGCACTTGGGAAGCAGAGGCAGGAGGAACTCTGTGAGTTCGAAGCCAGCCTGGTCTACAGAGGGAGTTCCAGGACAGGCTCCAAAGCTACAGAGAGAAACCCAGTCAGGAAAAAAAAAAAAAAAAAAAAAAAAAAAAAAAAAAGTTGTATTTATTTTATGTGTACTGCTTACTGTTTGCATGTGTGTGTGTGTGTGTGTGTGTGTGTGTGTGTGTGTATGTATGTGCACCAAGTGCCTGGTGCCTGCAGAGTACATTGGAGCCCCTGGAACAGGAGTTACAGTTGGCAATGAGTTTAACATTGGGAACCAAACCATGTCCTTCAAAAGAGCAGCAAATGCTCTTAACCACCGAGCCATCTCCCCAATCCCATACTTCAGTTTTCCAGGATTCCTCCATAAAACAGGGCTTCTAGAACTAACAAATCTATTGCAGAACAGACACACTCTTCTTGATACCAACTTAAAAAGGAGGCCTTCTAATACTGCATTAGTTACTTAGGATCCCGCCATACATTACTAATTTATATTAAAATGATTCAACTCTTAGATCACCCCGTCTCTCCCATCCTCAACAGTCCTTTGGATACAACATGTATAATTTAATATTGTTACTATTAAATGTTACTGAACTGATACATTGTTTACACTTTATAGAGTTTATCACACATACTCTCTTCCTTGATGTTATGAAACTTACAACCACTCTCTAAATATCTAGTAATTTGGCTTCACCCAAAATCAGATCAATCAAAAGGCATTTATTTCTGTACAATAAGCCAGGATAGTCTCAGCCTCTTAATAAATAAGATAGTATCCTTCCCACTAGAAATGGTCATTCTCTTACGTGAAGATGGCTGGATTTATAACACGATCTACAAAGGTACTTTGTTAAAAATGTAATAAAAATAATAATAATAGCTGGTCCTAATTATTATTTTAAAAAGGCTACATCTCAACTATTTTCAAATCAAAGCAACTGGTTTTCAATAGCCAGTTTTTCATCAACTGTGTCCTTGGCAATTACATCCTACAACTCCCCACATTCTAGCAGTTTAAATACACATTGGTGATGGGTTTAACTGGAAGAACACCGACAGGTATCACACTGCTTTGTCCTAATGTGCTATGGATGGTTTGGTCACAAGGCTTGTTACTGGCGTCTGGGTTGAGTTTCAGTAGTAAAAGACATCGTTAATTGTATTTTCTTTGGGGGAAGAGGTATCTGAGGGACTGAACCTACAGCCCCTTGAGTACCACTGTACTATAACATTATACTCCTAGCCCTTGTAATTCCCCTTGTAATTCTTTTAAAATTAAACTTACGTTCATATTTTTAAGGGATAAACTGTTACTTTTATTTGTGTCCATGTCAGAAAAATTTCAAAAGTTTTTCTTTAAACTTTTTAAAATTAATTGTATATGTGCCTGCTGGGGAGTTATGCGTATGTGTGAGTAGAGATGCCTTTGGAGTTCACAGGAGGGCAACAGAGCCCTAGTGCCATGAACTGCCCTACCTGGGAACTAAGAACTGGACTTGGGTCTGCTACAAGAGGAGTGAGCCTTCTTAACCTCCTGTCTGGCGTCACTTTCGTCCTCAAAATATATTTTTTAAAGGAGAATCTCGGTTTTACAGTTGCAACACCATGTGGGTCACCTCTATGTAGTCAATCAAGTTCTGGCCTTATTCAGATTTCTAATTTTCAGAGGTGCAGCTTAAGCTCTGAACTGTCTTTACTATTCTCACAGAAAACCGAGCTTCCTTCCGACAACTCCCATTCACTGTCTGTTGTTTAAAACTGTAACAAAATAACCTAAATTCTGGGAAAACACAGACCTTTCTTCCGATTTCTGATGTATCACATGTACCTGGAACAAAGGCTAGCAAGTGGAAGGCCCTCTACAAATCTGTCTAAAAAGTTAACAAAGTATTCATTTGACCACACCAAAGACTATTATGGGTGCTCTGGAAAGTACAGATTCTAAAAAGCTACTGTGTAACCTTGTATGGTTAGATGAAAATAAACAGGCATGATAACATGGTTTCATTTAAGTAAACCAACAAACACTCATCTTATTCCTCTTTCCTACATCTTACCCACTCACCAGAATTCCTTCTAGAAAAAGTGCTAATCAGTTTGGTGATTAAACATACCTCAGGAGTTCCAACTGATGCCACAACCCTAGTCCTCTTAACAGAGACAGTGTCCCAGGCCCCCAGGAACTCTCAGGCCACATACAGAGCCCGGAAAAACTGTTCAGTGGCTACAGGCTGCAAAGCTATGCAGACCACCATTTGGTAAAGGCTACTACTGTTTTCTCAAAGCCTGCTTTCTACTACTGCCCAATAGATACTCAGGTAATTGAAGAATGTTGTCCATTTCTGCAACAAATAAATGGGTATTAATGGCTGCATATTTTGTTTTGTTTTGTAGTAAGAGTCTTGCTGTATTAGGTGAAGACAGACTCGAACTCACCAAGCCCAGGCTGGCCTTAATCCAATGCTTGATCCTCCCTGCCTCAGCCTCATCCATGCTGTTATTACAGGAGTGGGTCAACACACTCAACTTGTAACAGCGTATTTTAAGCACCAACTGAGCAATGAGCTTTAGTACCGTGATTGCTTACTTTCAAATCTCAGTTATGGGTGGACTGACAAGCCCCAGGAAACATGTATCCCTGTAAAACTTGCCCTAAAATACTTCATAATTAGCTTCTTATTCCTTGACCAGGCACCAACATTACCACCAGCTGAAATAGGCTCCGGAACGTTACATGGTGACTCTTTATTTACTTTTTAGGTGTATTTATTTTACTTTATGTGTGTGAATGTTTTGCCTGTGCATATGCATGTGTAGCATGGTGGAACTGGACTTACAAAAAGCTGGGATCTGTGATCCTCCATGTGGGTCCTAACTGCTGGACCTTCAGCCCTGTGCTGCTTAAAGCCCTTGTATTTATTTTTCCCTTTTTCTTTTTCCTTTCTTTTCCTATTTTTTTTTTTTTTTTTTTTTTAAGAGTCTTGCTATGTGACCCCGGCTAGCCCGGCACTTACTGCACCGCTCAGGATAGCCTTAAATGTCTTTTGCTTTGCCCACCTAAGTGTGGGGATCAAGCTTGCTTGCTTATGTGGGATCCAAAGTAGCACTCATTTCATAGGGCTAGTGATGCTCTGTTACATGTAAAGTGCAGAGAACTATGTCCAGCATGTACAACTGGTACGCAGGTATTAACTACCATTTTTATTACAACCTGATTCACTGATTAGGATGACTGAACACTGACGTAACAACACTATAGTTATGTGACATCTAGACTTTGCTGACTATGTTGTTAATATAAAGATAATAGGTGCATGACATTTGCCACTGGCTCAAGTATATAAAGTTCCTGTTTACATAAACAAAATGGTTAAACACCACAAAGGTCCATACTGATCTAAAAGCAGGGATATCTTGAAATCAAAGGTGGTTTCATGACAACTGAATGGAAGGTAGAAAAGAGGGCAAAGGCGTTAATGAACAGTTTTTTTTTTTAAATATTAAATTTTTAAAAACTTGTTAAATTATCCAATCATAAACCTTGTAGGAGTTTTAGACATTGTAAGTAGTTTTCTAATGGTCTGAAACTATTCTAAAATCCTGTTTAAAAGAAACCCCACATAACACCCCAAAGTAGCAGCTCTTTAATAACACAAAGCTCTACAGCAGAATGGACAGAGTTCAGAACAAAAGAGGTGGGCTCCGTGTTAACATTACCATTTCCTGGATATTTGACTTTGTGCAAACTACTTACTCCAGAAGTTCTAGGAGCCGCCCCGTTATTGTGGTTTTATTAATTTTCAACTCTCACAACAGAGGACAGGGCCAATGACAGCTGACCTACCGTACTGCTGTGAGAACTAATGAAATGTCAAAAATCCATCTTGATAAACCCTAAAAACTGATAAAGTATCGCCACTGAGAAGGTAAGAATTCTAATAGCTCACTTGCACTCTGTCACAGTCTTAGCCTCTTTTGGCTTTTTCTAGCCTTGACCGTGTTTGCCACAAACAACAGGGAAAAAAAAAAAAAAAAAAAAAAAAAAAAACAAAACAGACCCAACCCCATGAAAAGCAATAAATGTACTTTTAAGACCTTAAGCTCTATTTAAGTGTAACACACAAGGTAACTCCGGCGCAAGAAAAGGCAAGTAGCAGCCGAACGACCTCGGTAACCTCACAGACCGGACTGTGGTCAGTGTGTGTCCACTGTGGCTGAAGTGGGGTTCACTTGTGAAGCGGGAAACTTAGTATTCCTTTCAGTGTTGAAATGCAAACCCACCCATCAGATAAGGCCGTGGTGACGGCAGGCAAGTCCTTAACGGCATTTCAAAACTGTTTCCTCTAGGACTCCTACAGTATTTGTGTTTGAATGAAATTTCAGTTAGAACTCTTGACTTGCTCTATCCAAACTCCTTTCGAGCAGCATTAGCATAATAGCAGGTCAAGTAAAACTTAGCAACTTCTAGAATAAGCAGTATTAATAAAAAACTACCTTCCCTGTGGCTTTTCCATAAACGGTCGCATGGAATGATGCTCTTCAGCAGTGCATAAACCACTTCTTTGGATCCATCCTAACACCAACGAGTAGGAGTTCCGTTTGTTTGTGTTATGGAAACAAGCCTGTCTAGATCCGGATCCCATTTCAGCTAAGTTAGCCAAACCACACTCCACCGCCCCAAACTCACCACACAGACATCCAGGCCTGCAACAGCACGCCTCAAGTTTAGTTTAAACATCGCCTGTTAGCCCCTCTTTCAAAGGTCACTTAAAATCAAGTCCACATGATAATGAGAAGCTGTTTTCTTTTAAAAGGCCCGAACGCAGGCTTTGCAGAGAGACAAGGTTTCGCCAGCCTCTGCCCCCTCTGGCTAACGTCACAATAGCAGCAACATTTAATAGAAAAGTTTGGAAACTCTTCTCGGCGGCGGCCGGTCGTCATTCGTCACCTCTCTGGGCTGCCGCCCCGGGCCGCCCTGCAAAGCAAAAACCCACTCACGGACTCGGCGGAGAACTTTCTGGATCGCCGTGCGAGTTCCTAGTTCAGAACTTCAGGCCCAATTTGAACAAACAACTTACGTCACCTGGGCCTGGGGCGAAGCTCCCCTCGGGGCCTGGGCACCCCTAGGGCTGACTCCCACGGGGGAGCCTCGAGAGCGGCCCCGGCCCGCCTGCCCCGGAGGGGGAGGTGGGGGCAACGGGGCGGGGCGGGGCGGGCTGCGCGGGGCGCACCTGAGCCCGCGATGCGGGCGCGGTCCAGCTCGATGGACAGACTCGTGGAGGCGGACGCGTCCCCGGACGCTAGGGGCGGCTCGGCGGCGGGCTCGCGGGGCGCGGCCGCGCCCTGGTCCCCCTGCAGCCGCATGGCGCTCCCGGGCGCGCCCCTCCGCGGCTGGGCCCAGGCGACCCGCGGCAGCAGCGGCTCCCGCTCCTCGTCCTCGTCCTCCGACGGCCGGCGGGGCTGGCAGTCCTCCGCCATGGCCTCCGCGGGTGGCCCGGGGCGCTCAGAGCGGACGGGCGCCCGGCTGGAGCCTCGGCATCGCGCCCAACCGCGGCGGCCGGCCGGACCGCACCGACGCCACCTCACCAGTCCACCGCCCGCCCCGCCCCGCCCCGCCCGGCCACGCCCCGCCCGGCCACGCCCCGGCACGCCCCGCCCCTCGAGCCGCCGGCCACACGCCTGCGCAGAATGGCGGGGCGGAGCAAATGAGGGCGGGGCGGGGCGGGGCGGGCCGCCTGTGTCTGCCCCGGGCAGGTGTAGTGTGCACGAAGGTGCAGCCCCTTATCGTTATGATATACGTTATACGTTATATACGTTTATTTCACCAACTCTTTGCACTAAAAGTTCGTGAGGACTGGGAGCTTCTCCTCGGACAGAACCTGAATAGTCCTGTGCTGTTACAATAAGTCCATGTGTTGTCTATACTTGACTAACGTCTTGCAATAGAAGTCCGTGAGCGCGGGAAGTTTCTCTTTAGACAGAACCTGGACTAAGTAACGTTACCGTAAGTTGTACGTTATAGACATGTATTTGGTACTAACATCGAGCTGGGGATTTCTATTTAGAGTTTCTTGGCAGTGGAAATGATGTAGTTTTCTTTTGCTTTGACTAATCTTAACTAAGGTATATCACTGTTTCAAAAATCTTTTTTAAAGTCCGTGTTTGTTGTGTTAAATTTTTGTTTTCTAGATCGCTGACTTTTTTCTTCTTCTGCTTAGTACTTATTTGTTTCCTTTTTACTACTTGTTTAGTAAAGATTAAAACACTGAGCAGGCTCCTACCTTATAAATACAAAGCCTTTAAAGCTACGAGTTGCCCTCATATCTTTGTTTTACCTGCGTTCCACTGTTTTTGATGCATTGTACTTTTATTTTTGAAATAATTTTTAATTACTCTTAGGATTTCTCCTTTGGCCTACTTCTTTGACATGTGTTATTTTCAAGTACTTAAGGGCTTTCTGGGAATTATTTCTTGTTTAAGTATTGTGCCAGCCAGTTTTTGTCAACTTGACACAAAATGGAATCTCCTGGAAGGACCCTCAATTGAGGAGTTGACTCCCTCAGATTAGCCTGTGTGCGTATCTTTGGGGCATTCCCTGATTAATGATTGATAAGGAAGGGTCCTACCCACTGTGACTGACATCATCCCTGGACAGGTGATCTTGTATAAGAAACGGGAAGAAGGCGTAGAGGGCAAGCAGTATTCCTTTATGGTCCTGGCTGGAGTTCCTGCCTTCAGATTCCTGTTTTGAGTTCCTACCCCGACTTCTCTCCCTGAAGTGTTGTGATGTGGGAATGTAAGCCAGATAAATCCAATGTCCTTTGGGCCATGGGGTCTGTCACAGCGGCAGCAGGAAGAAAATGCACACTAGGACCAGTGCACCCACTGTGACCAACAGAGATGCTAAAGTGTGACATTCCACAGCCCAGCTTGCTGCGCACTTTCACCAAGAACATATATTCTAACGTTGAGTGGTTTTTAATCTCTCGGTTGCTCTATAGATAATTTCAAAGTACTGCCAGTGTCGTTAACGTCACCCACATGCCACTGACTTTTTCATCTGGGTCTAGTTCTGAGAAGAGGTTGTTACAGTCTTATTATTGTGTAATTTGTCCTTTTCATCTTGTTGGCTTTTATGACTTCCTAGTAATTTTACTTTTCTAATTTAAAAAGGTGTGTGTGTGTGTGTGTGTGTGTGTGTGTGTGTGTGTGTGTGTGTGTGCATGTGTGAGTGAAGGTCAGAGGGCAACTCATGGAAGTTAGAGTTCTCTTTCCAGCCTATAGGTCCTGGAGAATAAAACACAAGATCATCAGCAAGCCTTGTACCAGTCCTGATCCGGGCCTTTTTGAAATAATTATCTTATCTCTAGTTATCTTTCTGCCTTGAAGTCCTGCCCTAATGTAACTGTCCCACCTTTTCTCAGGCTTACTGTTTGTCTTAGGTAAATATTTTTCCCACTCCTCATCTTATATGTAGGTCTTGATGGAGGTGGAATTTTCTGCCTGCGGCAGCCCCCAAATAACCACTCACAGTCTTAACATTAATTATGAATGCTAGGCCAATAGCTCAGGCTTGTTACTAGCTAGCTCTTACATATGAATTAAGCCATATTTCTTATCTGTGCTCTGCACGTGGCATGGTGCCTTTTCTCAGCACGGCGTGCCCATCTTGTTTCTCTCTGCATCTGCTGGCAACTTCTTAGACTCTGCCTTCTTTCTCCCAGTATTCTGTTTGGCTCTCCCATCTAACCTAGACCTGTTTAGCTATTGGCTAGTCAGCTTTTTTTATATTAACCAATGAGAGTAATGCATATTCGCAGTGTACATAATGATTATTCCACAGCATCTTTAAATTTTTGATGTCTCTTACATATAGTTTTCAGTTCGTTCATAGTTTTTAAATCCAGTCAGATAATCTCTATGCTTCAGTTGGAGTTTTTAGTTCATTTACATAAAATGTAATGATGACACAGATGGATTAAAGTCTACCATTTTAAATTTTTATCTTGTTTGCATCATCCTTTTTTTAGTCTCCTTTTTTTTGGGGTGTTAATCTAGTATCTCTTTTCTTCTAGTACTTAATTTTTAGTGGTTTTTCTGGGACTTATAGTACACATCCTTAAATTACCTTAATGTATTAAGAGCTTATATTATACTAATTGTCATAAAACACAAGAACCTGCAAAAAGTGTAGCTCCGTTTATCTGCCATCTTTAATGTTTTTATTGCCATGTGAAATAGACCTGCATATATTAAACACAATGTACTATTTTTTTTTTTTTTTTTTGCTTTTAGCAGTAATATATTTTAAACAAATTAAGGACATTATTTCTGGTACTTCATACTATTTTTAGTGTTCTTCATGCCTTCTTATGGGTCTAATTTTCTGTGTAGTACCATGTTCCTTCCCAGTGAGGAACTTAACAAAATGAGTTACGATGCAGATCTGGGGATAATGTCTAAGTTTTATTCACCATCACTTTCCATTGGTATTTCCTATAGGTAGGTAGTGGATTGTAAGTTGGTGGATGGCTCATCTTTCTCACCGCTGTGAACACCCACGGGACAGAAACGACGTGAGAGGAAAGGACCATTTTGGAATATGGTTTCGGGAGTTTTAACCATCATAGTGGAAAAAGAGCTGACAGGTGGTGCGTGAGGCAGGGATCTTCAGCAGGGGAGACATGGGAGGCAGCAAACCATGGCCCATAGCAACAGCACCATCACCTACAGGAGCCCTTGCTTCTGCCAGCCGAGCCCACCCCCCGAAAGGGTCCATCGCCTCTCCAATCAATGCCACCAGTCAACCACAACAGCTGATGTTGCTGTCCCTATCCAAGTTCAGATCTAAAAGTGTCGCACCATGATTCCATGGCCTTCCCTGTCTCTGAGTCCGCCCACCTGTCTATTCTGTACTATGTCACTATTTTTGTGGCTGGCTTTCACCTTTGTCTTTCGACATCGTGCTGTGGTTTCTCTTTAGCTATACCCTGCTTGGGTCTCGCTAAGGTCTTTTGTGACCCACAGTGTGGGTGCTGGGAATCAAACCCAGCTCCTCCGAAAGAGTAGCTAGTGCTCTTAATTACTGAGCCACCTCTCCAGCCTCGGTGAGATTTTTTTTTTTTTTAATCTGTAGATTTGTGTTTAAAAACTTAAGGGGGTGGTGTCAATTTCAGTTGGGTTTTACTTTTTTCTGTCTCATTTTCCCTTTTCTTTCTGAAATACTGTGTGTGTGTGTGTGTGTGTGTGTGTGTGTCAGACTTATGAACATTGCTCCAATGTGTGTGTGTGTTTCTGAAATACTGTGTGTGTGTGTGTGTCAGACTTATGAACATTGCTCCAATGTGTGTGTGTTTCTGAAATACTGTGTGTGTGTGTGTGTGTGTGTGTGTGTGTGTGTCAGACTTATCAACATTGCTCCAAGGCTCTGCCTACCTATTTTTTTTTAAATAGTTGTCAATCACTTCCCTTTATTTTGGAAATGTCTCTTAATGTATTTCATGTCCAGTGACCTTTTAGTTAGCCAGTAAAATAACCCTTCCACTCACTTAGCACATTTTTTAATTCCAAAACTTATTTTTTAGTTCTAGAATTTCCACTTAGCACACATTAGCTCTATTTCTCTACTGAGATCCCCATATTATTAATTCACCACACCCATGGATTTTCTTAGGTCTTTGAAAACATGTAATGACTGTTTACATGGCATCTGGGCCAGATTGGAGTCAGCTTCTTCCACTCACTTCTACTTCTTGACTGCAAGCAAATTTTATTTCACGTTCTTTTGTGAATCTGTCAAGATATAGCTGCAGATTTAGATATGGGCCCTAGTGGGTGATGTGTTACTGAGCCTCTACATTCTATCATCCCCTTTAAGGAGTGTTGTTCTAGCAAGTACTTGACTTGTCTGGAGTCAAACTTCCGAAATTATCTCTCAATAATCCAAGTGGTTTTTTTTTTTTGTTTGTTTGTTTGTTTGTTTTTTCTTGGACTCCTTGCAAACTCTCACCCATGCAACAAGGATTCTGGTAGAGTATATGTGCAAATTTAAGGGCCCTGAACCTCGACGAGTCCTTTCCAGAACTCCCCTCCTCTGTCTCTAGCTGCTTTGAAAGCAAGAACTTCTTCCCACAAGTCCTTAACCCAGTAAGACGGTAGCTTTCTGACTGAGTGCCAGCTGCCTTGCACAGTGCATAGTAGAAAGTGCCCTCAGGCACAATGTTTGAACATAAATCTCACTCATTATGTTAACATCCTTTGAAGAGTATCCATCCCTTCCGTTTTTGTTTGCCTGCTTCTGGCCGGCTGCCAGCATCTTCAAACAATTGTTTTTAGATTTTTGTCCAAAGTTTATAATTTTGATCCATTAGAGGGTTAGTCTAATATAATCTCCTATGACATGTTTTATTACCAATGCGTCTTTTAGTGAAATGAATAGTGTTGTAGTTTCCTCAGTTCGTGGGTTAGTAGAGAAATATTACCTCTTTTATGAGATAAGATTCAGTATCAATTCTGCTTACCA